CATCAAGACCAATCAAGCCACCACACCGATATTCTCCATCCTTGCATTATTTGTTGTTGACGGATTCCGGTGAGCCGGAATGTTATAAAGAGGCAATGGGCATGGGTGACTCGTTGAAGTGGGAGCAAGCAATGGAAGATGAGATGTCTTCATTGGAGAAAAACAACACTTGGGTGCTGGTTGAGTTGCCTAAGGGCAAGAGAGCACTTTTGTGCAAGTGGATCTTTCGAAAGAAAGAAGAACCGGATGGTACAATTCGGTACAAGGCAAGACTTGTGGTGAAAGGTTTTTCACAAAAGGAGGGCATTGATTATCATGAGATCTTTGCTCCGGTTGTGAAGCTAACCACTATAAGGATCTTGTTGGCTATAGTGGTTTCGGAGGACTTATTTCTTGAGCAAATGGATGTAAAAACCGCGTTTTTACACGGTGATTTGGAGGAGGAAATCTACATGAAGAAACCGGAAGGGTTTCAAGTTCCGGGTCAAGAGAACTTGGTGTGCAAGCTTAAACGGAGTCTATATGGGTTGAAACAAGCTCCTAGACAATGGTACAAGAAGTTTGACAATTTCATGCTAGGCAATGGTTTCGTGAGAGCGGAAGGTGACCATTGTTGCTACTTTCAAAGGTATGACAATGGCTATATCTACTTGTTTTGTATGTTGATGATATGTTGATTGCGGGAACTAGTATGGAAATTGTCAATGACTTGAAAAAGAAGTTGTCAAGAAGATTTGAGATGAAAAACTTGGGTGAGGCCAAGCAAATACTTGGCATGAGAATTTCTAGGGATAGCTCAACGGGTGTGTTGAAGTTATCTCAAGAGGAGTATGTCAAGAAGGTGCTTAAAAGATTTAACATGATTGATGCAAAGTCTCGAAGCTCACCTCTTTCAAGTGAGCTCAAGTTGACTAAGGAGGATTGCCCAAAGACAAGGGAAGAGAAGGACAAAATGGCCATTGTTCCTTATGCTTCGGCCGTTGGTAGCATGATGTATGCTATGATTTGCACGAGGCCCGACATTGCTCACGCAGTGGGAGTTGTGAGTAGGTTCATGTCAAATCCGGGTGAGAGACATTGGGAAGCCGTGAAGTGGCTATTGAGGTATTTGTTGGGTACTTCAAGTATGGCTCTTTTCTTTAGGAGAAATGGAGTTGTTTTGGAAGGTTTTGTTGATGCCGATTTTGGAGGATGTTATGATTCAAGCAAAAGCACTTCGGGGTATGTGTATACTATTGGTGGTACGGCCATTAGTTGGATGAGCAAGCTCCAAAAGTGTGTCTCTATGTCTACGACGGAAGCCGAGTATGTGGCTATGTCGGAAGCGGGAAAGGAGATGGAATGGTTGAAGGGTTTCCTTGAAGAAATGGGCATGAAACAAGATGTTTGTGCGTTGTATAGTGATAGCCAAAGTGCGGTTCAATTGGCTAAGAATCCTATGTTTCATTATCGCACTAAACACATCAAGAGGCGTTATCACTATACTAGGAGTTTGGTGAAGGATGGCACGATGTGTTTGAGGAAGATTGCTGGTTCAAAGAATCCGGCGGATATGCTCACTAAAGCTGTTTCTAGTGACAAATTGAGGTTGTGTAGGACATCAATTGGACTCCATCATTAATTTGAAGGAGTGTTGTGCTATGGTGAAATTGTTTTGATGAATGTATTAAGTGTTCTTGAGGAAGGAGTGTGTATGTGGTAGTCTATGGTGCATGTTTGATCCTATCTCCAAGTGGGAGATTGTTAGGATTAGTGTGGAGATAGATAAATACATGGAGACATAAGGAGATTGCATAGAAGCTGCCTTATTGTTAAGGTTCGACCAAACTTGTGAAAAGTTCGGTCGAACCCGGTTTTAAGTCAGTAGGTGCACCAGTTTACATTTCTAGAGGAGGAGTGACCAAACCCAAGGAGGTTCGACCGAACCACCCCAGGTTCGACCGAACTCTGGGTAGGTTCGGCCGAACCTCCCTGCTCCCTATTTCGTCGCTTCGTTTTCGGCTTGTGCGATTTGCTTTAATCTTAGCCGTTGGATTGTATTTTCTACCTAGACTATATATACCTTTTCTAAGCCTCTTTGTTGAGATTTCACAAACATTTAAACACATAGAGATGTTTTGAGAGGGTTTGTGAGGAGCATTTGAATTCTATACAATTCATGCTTGTAATTCTTGAGTTCATTCATCATCAATATTACTCCATAGTGCAAGGGTGGGTTTTTTCTCCCGGTTCTCGGGTTTTCCCACGGTAACATTGTCTTCCTTTTACTTGCTTTAATTCCTTCAAAGTTGTTCTTGATTGTTATGCTTGTTTGTTCATTGCTATTGTGGGTTGATTGCAAGTTAGTTGAACACTTTAATCCTTACAGCATCCATAAGTGCTCTTCAATCTGACTCTTTAATGATTGAAAGCAAGTGTGTTTCTGAAACTATAACTGGCCAATTGCAAAAGGAACAAAGGGAAAATAGCACTAAAGATACACCAAATGTCAATATTGTAGCACCAACAACTGAAGATACTGACATGTGCTCTGTCAAAGCACCATTTCCTCATTGGTCAATGCATAAGCGAAAGCGCACAGCCCTCACGAAACCACAGGTACAAATACTCAGTGAAATTCCCACAAAGCTAAGCAGCAAGAATTCCGCAACTGATGGATACACTAGCTCAACAACTGAAGCTACAAGGGCAAGAGTATAGTGACAACAGGGATACATCTGCTGCGAACCTTTTGTTACTTGCAGAATTAGCCACAGCTGATAACCCGACATCAACTAAGAAAGGTACATCATAAATTTAAAATCACAGAACCTGAAGCAAAATTAAAACAAACTTAGATCACAAAATCCTTTTGCCAGAAAATATATAGAACCTATAATATGATATATAGTTGTTGCATTTTGCTTACCTGTAGCACTATAATTTCCAAAATCTACTAAAAATGGTGTTTGCTGCATTTTCGACATTCAGCGCATCAAATTATGTGTTGGCATCAAATTATTCTGGTACAAATTTTGTTGACCATATTATCCTTGGAACAACTTCAACTAAATTACTATCATCAAGTTCAGCACTTCCACCAATATAAGTTTGATCGGAATCCTCTGCATCCAAGTCAATAATAATAATATCATTTTCTCGAAGGTTCATTGTTCCATCCCTATTTTTTATACCACTACACTATCCTTCCAATTTCAGCTCAGTTTCTTGATTAACATCTTTCTTCAACGCCTGCAGATATGTAAACATTTGTTGAGAAAGCTCACCCATATAACTAATGAACTAAACACCCTTTTCAATTTACTCTGCTCCGGATCAGGAATCCAGATCTTAGGAACAAATGAATAAGAAGATGATATATTATTATTTCTCATCATTTTCAAGAAGATATTTAAATATCCATATAACAAAACTAAGTAACTTAGACTATATAAATACATTGATTTTGCTTGTTCCTCAAGGCAAAAATTAATATTGGTAACTTTTTTGGGAAAAGTACACGCAACACGTACTCACACAAGAAATTGGCCAAAGGTGATCCCGAAGCCAAAAGTATGTAATGGACCCTAACTACCAATTTGTGATGACTGAAATCAACTCAGCTAGCCAAGCATTATTAACTTATGTCTAACAATTTTTGCTGCTACCTTTTCCAATTTGTGATGACTGAAATCCTCATTGTGATCAGGATAACCAAATTCTGCATCAGTTTCCACCTTACACTTTCTCAGTCTGTCTTTCACCCTTCCAATAAACATGTACTGATGTACCATCCCTCATATACCCGGGAAGTGCTCTAGGAAGTTATTGCTTTAAGTTTCAAAAGCTTATCATGCTAGATTTTCTGAATATATAGAAACTTCATAATGCAATCATGGCATCCTCATTTCAGCTCTGCCATCTTATATTGATGCTTGCATATTATATTCAGTACTCAGACTTCACAACATTTTTTAAAATCAAGTTCAACCTCAATCCAACATGTTTTCTACATTAATAAGACCTTTATACAATAGCTTTCTCTGTAAAGTTTATAAGAGTTTTGACAAACAAGGAATCTGTTTACAAAATCATTAAGCTTCAAAGCTCAACCTGTACATATCTCTACTCCATTATAAGTAGTCTAAGATTTCCATAAATTCCAACCATTTACTTTAGCTAAAATTTGAAAGCACCAAGCAAACTATCTTCTGCATAAGTCTCATCCAATTTCCAGTCACCTGCATTTTCAAGATTGCTATATAATTCTCTCCAAGAACCTTTCAAATAATTATCTTAATTACCTCATCTGTTTGAACTTTCTTTACCACTTTGTTTGTTACCTCCTATGTATATGATACACACCACAAGTAAAAACCATAGTACACATCGTCTCTGCACTGCCCCAACATCTTCTAAGCAATACCGATGACTTGGGAACCGCGCACAACGCTCGCGAGTCCACAACTAGTTTTCAAAAACATGTCCCGTTCTATACTGTAAAATTTTTAATGGCCTTATCTTAGAATGTCAGGAGACTCAGGACATTAATATAAGGAAAAACTGCTGTTAACGACAGTAAGCAAAACCTTTTTTTTTCCATTCATAACATGAAACCAAAGTGATAAACACTTAGAAGTATATATGTATGTAAAGTTTCGAGAGATCATCAGGAACATCAAATTAAGAGAATACTAATACACTAATTTGTATTTAACAAACTCGGATTCATTAGTCTAGTAATTAATCTGACCCTTTCAATACGTAATTCAATGCTTAATTAAGTACGTACATTTTGAACAATCTTGAATATTCAGTCACTAAAAGAGTAGTACTGCATGCCACAATGCCAGAAGTTTCATCATTCTGAGTGACAGACAGTATCATAGTACAGTTGAAAAGTCCACAAATTAAAGACAGTATTATTGGTACATCCTACAAGCTACAATAAAGAATATTCAGTCATCTCTAATCTCTAATTCTAAGTGACAGCCACATATAAAGACAACCCCACAGGAAGCTGACTTGCTTGGTTCGTGTAGTAGCTTGCAGGTCAATCGGGGTCTTGGCTTTAATAATGTGTGGTCTTAAATTATGTTACGTTGCAATTATATCGAAAGGTAGATTGAGCAAACCTTGAGTTGAATAAATAGTTGAATATATGAACAATTATTTCATTCATTCATTCATTCACAAATATAACTCCCATTACCTCACGCGCTGTTTTTCTCCAAAATGAAAACTATTCCACCCATTTCTTCATCTTGGCCTTTTCTCTTTCTCGTAATTGTATGGCTATGCACTTGGTGCTGTACACCGTATGTTTCCAGTCAATGTCTCGACGACCAAAGATCTTTACTCCTTCAGTTCAAGAACAATCTTACTTTTGGTTCCATCACTTTAGAGGAGTCAATGGGGTGGAATCAAAGCACAGATTGTTGCCAGTGGAGCGGCATCACCTGCGACCACTCCACTGGCCGAGTCATTGGCCTTGCTGTGATGAACACGAAAATCACTGGCAGCATCAACAACTCGTGTAGTTTGTTTCATCTTCAGTTCCTCAAAAGTCTGAATTTGCAATATAACCATAATTTGCAAGGTGAAATTTTGTCAGCAATTGGCAATCTACAGTCTCTTGAGGAATTAAATCTCCAATATGCGAACTTTTCTGGAGTCATACCAAGTTCCATCAGCAACCTCAAGAAGCTTCGTTCAATTTACCTCACTAAGAACCACTTTTCTGGAGTCATACCAAGTTCCATCAGCAACCTCAAGAAGCTTCGTTCAATTTACCTCTCTAAGAACCACTTTTCTGGAGTCATACCAAGTTCCATCAGCAACCTCAAGAAGCTTCGTTCAATTTACCTCTCTAAGAACCACTTTTCTGGTCCCATCCCATCATTTTCGTCAATGAAAAATCTAGAACAGTTAAGTCTTACTCACAACAATTTAAATGGTTCTACCAATGCCACAGAGTGGGATAAATTACTCAGTTTAAAAGAGCTTGATTTGTCATATAATTTACTGGATGGAAGTATTCCTACCTCTTTATTCAGTTTGCCATTAATATCATACATCGATCTGAGTGGAAACAAATTTAGTGGCCAACTGAATGAATTTGCAAACATAGCTTCTTCCCAGGTAGATGTTCTTGACTTGAGCAACAATAATTTGGAAGGGCCAATCCCAAATTCAATTTTCCAATTAAAAAACCTTTCCGTGCTGGAACTATCTTCAAATAGGCTCAATGGCACGCTAGATCTGGGTAACGATATTCTACATAGCTTCAAGAATCTCAGGTATCTTGATCTTAGATACAATAACTTGATTTTTCCAACAACAATTTTAGTTCCATTGACCCTAACATTGGCAACCATTTATCATCAACAAAAGCTTACTACCTGTCATTTTCGAGAAATAACTTTCATGGGATTATCCCTACGTCACTATGCAATGCCACGAATCTAGAGGTTCTTAATCTCGAATACAATAACTTTGGTGGCATAATCCCTGATTGCTTTACCGCCCTGACTCAACTAAGCACGTTGAATTTGAGAGGGAACCAATTACATGGTGAAATTCCTGCTAAATTCAGAGAAGGTTGCAGCTTGGAAACTCTCGAATTGAATGAGAATTTTCTTGAAGGAAGGATACCTCGATCACTTGCCCACTGCAAAGCATTAAAAGTATTGGATCTTGGAAATAATCAATTGAATGACACATTTCCTTGTCATTTGAACGGCTTATCTAACTTGCAAGTTCTCATCCTTCATTCCAACAAGCTCCATGGAACTATTGTTTGTCCACAGAGTCACTCAATATGGCCATTACTTCAAATAATGGACGTATCTTCCAATCACTTTATCGGTGAACTGAAAGCCCAAAGTCTTTTTAATTGGCCATTGATGATGGCTGGAGTAACTAAAGAGCAATCAGAACCAAGCTTTATACAAACCTCTTTTTCAGGTGGTGCTAAATACTATCAAAATTCAATTTCACTCAACTTTAAAGGTAATTCCTATCAGTTGCAATATATCCTAACAATCTTCACTAGCATTGATTTCTCCAACAATGCTTTTCATGGTGAGCTGCCAGAAGAGTTGGGAAATTTGAATGCTCTTGTAGTTCTCAACCTCTCTTACAACTCTTTCTCCGGCCATATTCCATCATCACTTGGGAATTTGAGCCAGATTGAGTCATTGGATCTCTCTTGGAATAACTTGAGTGGGAAGATACCTGCGCAACTTGCGAACTTGAATTTCCTAGAGTACTTGGACCTATCCTTCAACAAGTTGTCGGGAAAGATCCCAACAGGCCCTCAACTTCAAACATTCAAAGCATCTTCATATGAAGGCAACCAAGGACTCTACGGTCCACCATTGACAGCAAAAGATCCAACAGTGACTCCACCTACTTCTTCAGAGGGATCAAATTGGAGTTCAAAGAGCGAACAAGAGTGGATGTTAAGGGGTGCTGAAGTTGGGTTTCCGGTTGGGATTACCGTCTTTGTAGGGCCTATCCTTTACATCAAAAGGTATAGGGAATGGTATTGCAAACATCTTCACATACTGATCATGAAAATCCTACGAAAGGAAGATAATATTACAAGGGCAAGGAGGAGGAGAAGGAGGAACCAACAAAGGCAGAGACACTAGACCCATAGAAATCAAGTAGAAGTCAATCAAGGGTAAGTATGATTTAAATTATCACTTAACATATTCAAGTTTGTATGTCTTTCTATACATACTCCGTATTATTTTTGTTTTCTCTCCTCTGTTTTGCCTCACTTAAAAGTACCATTTTTAATAGCTACTCCTACATTGCCTTTTAAATTTCCAAGACTCCATTTAATTTAATTTGTTTCATAAATAAACGTTCTGGTCTTTAAAAAATCTTCCATTATAGATTTATACCTCCATCAAAGAGCGTAAGATTTTTTAATTATTATTTCAATATTTCATAAATTGTTATTGAATTTCGTATTCATGTGGTTTCATCTTTTATATAGGTGTTGCTGTGTCGGATACTGCTGTGGATACCAGATATGTAATGTATTGAACTAAAGATTTTACGCATGTATGGTGAAATAAAGAATCATAGTAATTAGTATAGTTTGTAAGACTTTAAGAATTGTATAAGTATCAAGGTATGACACTTTATAATCAGTAGAATTGTGTTCTTACTGCTTTATATATATTCCCCTTAGCTTTCTAAAAGCATGTCCAAGTCGCGTTCTTAGATCCAACAAGTCCCATGGAACGAATGCTTCAAATAATATTACGGATTTATCTTTCCGGCAATTTAGCAGCCAAGTAACTGGCCATCTAAAATTATGATTGCTAAAATAAGTTTTACTCAATTTGAGCTAGCTTGGATCACTACAAATTCCCTCCCAAAGTAAAATTCACGTTGAACCTAACCAAGGCCCACTCTTTTGTCATGGTCAATCTTTTACAGCCGACTCTTTTGTCATGGAGCTTTGGCCGACCATTATTCCACACATTTAGTATCAAGGCCAATAATAGCTATTTATATACTTTAAGTATGTAGCTAATTTTGATATGTAATTGTTCATTACAGGTTTTTTTTTCCTTTTTAATTTGTTAGTGTTGTAGTGGCTTATGAAACATCTTGTTATTTGTTGTCTTGCATATTGAACTAATATGTCTTAAAGCATCTCTAATAGTTGTAGGTAGAAACTTGTTGCAATTTTCAAATTCGCTTACTAGCTAATTGAGAAAGTGGTGCTCATCTAACATAGGAAGCTAAGCTAGTACCTGGTCATTGGGGTACAAACTAACTTACTAGCTTAGCTAGAAAGTGAATAATTAGCTTCAAGTCTTACCTGGCATGGTACAATTAGCGTGGTATGTAGGATGAAAAATACTAGATTAGGTATATAGATAATAATTAGTCATTATTAAAAATATTTAATTGGATGAAAAAAGATTTTTTTTTTAATTATTAAAATAATTATGACGTCTAAAATATTAGATTGAGAGAATAAGCTGATAATATATCATCTACTTTGTATGTAATATCCAAAATTGATTGGATAAAAAAATTAAATTATATTTACAACTTATAAAAAAATAAGGGCATCTCGTTCATATATTTGTTTTAAAAAAAAATTCGTGGTGAATGTTGTGAAATCTCGATGGTACACGGTGAAAAAATCGTTTTTGCAACCATATTTGAGATATATTTTGAAGGACATAGTTTAGGGGTAGGATATAATTCATATGTTGTATATCAAAGTGGATATTATAGGAGAGTGTTAGTAGGATATAATTCATATGTTGTATATCAAAGTGTATAGGAGAGTGTTAGTAGGATCTGCTATTCTTTTGTCTAGGGTTGTTGAAACAGATACAGCCTAAGAAACACAGGCAAAATTCGATGTAAGCTGAATTTTATGAATTAGATATCAAAGACCTCTTTCCAAATGGTGTTAGCTATGCACAAACCTTCAACAACAAAGATCTGAATGGAACATATTATTCCCAATTGTACATTAATTAGACTACAAAACAACAAAGCAAAACTTTTACAACATTTACAAGTCAACTAACACCATTTCCATAGCTTTTAGTTTCATCCGCAACCTTCTCCCATACACTAGCCATCTTTTATGCAAACCCAGCCTACAAAAGCAATATATTTCACCGGCATTAAACATACAATGTCGATCTTATTATGCAACAAATTAATTACGTAGGACAGGAGGAACTTCATCACTTCACAAAACGATTGCTTAAAACATTACTTAAACCACTACATCAGATCCTATAAGATGAGAAAGGGTTTCTCCAATCCACCTTAAGGCTGGCCTATAAACATCAAGATGCAAATCCCAAAAGCATCAACTAACTAGCAACGATTAAGTTATTAAAAGGACTATATACAACATAACAGTTTACTAAAGGGACTAGAGAATGCACCTGATTTACATCAAAGCCCTTCAACATGCTCAAATAGTCTGCATGCCTTTCCTTATCCAGTCACTACTAGAAAACAGTTCATTTTCGACGGAAAAATCCGTCGAAAACACCCTATTTTCCGTCGGAAAAGGTGTTTCTGACGGAATTTCCGTCGGAACTGGTTGTCGGAAAACGTTTTGTAGGAAAAATGATCTTTTCCGTCGGAAACACTTTTCCAACGGAATTCAGTCGTCGGAAGAGGTTTTCCGGCACCGAAAAAGTCCGTCGGAAATTTCCGGCGGACTCAATCCGTTGGAAACCGCTGAAAAAAAAAACACCCTAACCCACTACCTTAACCCACCAAGCCCACCACCGTAACCCACCAGCCCCACCACCTTAACCCACCTAACCCTAACCCACCAGACCCCACCTTACCACCCACCAAAACCCCCACCTAAACCAAATCCCAACCCTTATCACCAAAACACCACCAACATCGAAATTCACCCACCACTAACAGACCCAACAACCTAACCAAAACCCCACCCATACCAAACCGAAACCACCCCAATCATTAACATACCCAGCACCAAACTCACACCAACCCCCACCCCACCACCACCGACACCACTACACACCACCACCATTCCAAAAATAAACCCTACAAACCGAAATTAACCCAAAAAAAAGGAAAATTAACCCAAAAAACGAAAAGCCCAAAAAATCGGAAATAAACCCCAAAAATACAAAAATTAACAAAACATAATAAAAAAAATACCACACAAAACAATCAAAACCAGTAGATCTACATCTTAATCAGAATTTCATTAAATGTTTTTTAAAAAAACGATAATTAACCAACGAAAATTAAAAGAAATTTATAAATATACAATAAAATTTATAAACTTAACATAACAATTACATACAAATAAAAATTAACTAGATCTACACTCTTGACGGTGGTTGTTGGCTCGCGACAGTGGTTGTTGGCTTTGTTGTTGTTGCGCCATAGTTGGCTCGCGACAGTGGTTGTTGGCTCGCGACGGTGGAACCGGAGAAGAGGAGTAGAGGAGAGAGAATCCGAGAAGAAGAAGAAAGAGAGAAGAGGAAAGAGAACAGGAGAGAGAAGAGAAAAGGAGAAGAGGAAAGAGAAACTGAAGAGAGAATAGTGGATCAGAGAAGAGGAGTAGAGGAGAGAGAAACAGAAGAAGAAAGAGGCGAGGAGAAGAGGAAAGAGAACAAGAGAGAGAAGAGAGGATTAGAGAAAGGAGTAGAGGAGAGAGAAACAGAAGAAGAAAGAGGCGGAAGAAGAGAATGAGAAGATGAGAGAGAAAGAGGAGATATTTAGCAACCTAGGGTTTGTGTAATTGGGTATTTTTAAAAAAAAACTATTTTCCGACGGATTTATATTTCGTCGGAAATTGTAATTTACAACGAAATAATCCGTCGGATTTATACTCTGACGGAAAAACATGTCCGTCGGAAATGGTCCGTCGGAATTCGGCCTATGTCTAGTAGTGAGTCTAGCAAGCTCACTCCTGTTATTTTCCTGCATGATTATAATAAATCAATACATTTAGGCATTAAATATTAGAGAAAGTTACAATGAGCATGTGGATTTTATCACATAGCACGATCAGTAGAGGCAGTGTTAAGATGGATAGTAGAAAGCTACAGCAATGTAAGAAGCAATGTAAGCAAAGAAAAAGCTCGTCAGGGTCATCAGTAGTGGAAGGCTACAAGAAGTACCACATATTATAATGTAAGCAAAGAAAAAACCTGCTATAGATGTTTGAATCTAGCTAAATACAGTTCCTTGATGAACTACGTAACTAAAGTCAGTTGTGATTACATACAAAAATGCAATGTGGATTGCACCAAAAAAAAAAAATCATAACATGACATCATAAATGAAAACATAACATGACATCATAGCTATAAATAAGTGTAGCACTACCGCACTAGGACATTATAATGGATATATATCTATAAGAACACTGATCAATTACCACGTGTAAACACTTAATACTTACTATAATTACGAAATTCCATTCCTATAATTGCAATGAAACATCAATTTAAAACTAATGACTTTCAATTTAAAGTTCCAAGTCAAAAAGTTAGTCATTTTTCCAGAAAAATAAGTGCACATTTTCCACTTTAACCTTATAATGGCCGACCTCATGATGAAATTCTTCAATTTGACAATATCTTACCGATTTTGTCACTATCAATTCAAATAATCTAACTGGGGTCTTAGCTTATGAATGGAAGAAATACTAGCTTTGTCTCAATGTGCCAGTCAATACTACGGAGTAGTTAGCAGAAATTACCATGTGCATAACTCCATGCAACCAAATTCAATCGTCTTGGTTACGTTGCATTATTTATTGAAAGGTAGTCGTTATATGAAGGTTGTTGGAATTTCTTGATAAAACAAGAGTGTTGGAAGAAAACAAGAGAGAGAGATGAAAGGGAAAAATCCCATATTAGTGGAGGGAGAGGTTTTTTCCTTGTTTATATATTGTAGTATGTTAGTACTATTTAGTTGAGTGTCTTGGAGTTGGGTGTTGTACCACACACACACGTGCGCGTCAAGCTGGGCAGGGTTGGGTTAGGCCTCTTGGGTCTTGGGGAATGCGATGCGTGGGCATGGGTCCATTTTGTCTTTTTGGAGATATTTTATTTCCCTTATTTGTTTATTTATTAGAATATTCCTTAATTATTCTAGCCGTTTTTTACTGTTGGGATTAATCGTCTTTTAGGTCAGTGGTTCGCCACGACACAACTATTGTCATCTTTGGTTCACACATCAACAGATAAGTATCTTTCGTTTAATTGCTTATTTGCTAACAACCTAAAAGACGAAACTTGGTTCCAAATGTTTGACCTTCATATGTCGAATTGGATTTTCTTCATTAAAAAATGGACATATTAATGAAGATGCGTTCTTTTATTTGGAACAATTGTTAGGTTTTTAGCAATTCAACAAAACAAGAATTACTTAAAATTGGTGGAACAAAACCTAAGTAAAGTATAATTCAATAAATTATACAATAATCAATATTAGTTAAAGTATTACAATCCAAGCACCAAAATATCAAAGTAATCAGAAAATTACAAGGAAAACTCTAATGTGAAAGATATTAAAACTTGCCTCTACTCCAAGCCAATGAAATCACCAAGAACATGAGAATACTATGGACCACGTGAGTCTTCAATACCGGATACTTGTCTAAGGCATGTAAACACTTTCCTAAAGTGATTATTTCCCCCACCACGGTGCTTGGGTTGAACCGGAAAGTCACGTTGAGATACAATAGACAACACTACAATCTTTGCACTAAGATTTGTAGCAAGATGATCAAATTCTCAAAATAAACTTAATTGATAGAGTATTTCAAGAAGAGATTGCAAGTTTCTTGGTGAAATTGTGAAGAAAAGTGAAAAACTTGGAGAGGAATTACAGAGAGAGCAAAAGCATCATCCGTTCTTCTTTTAATTTCGCAATTAAAAGATTAAACGAAACCGCAACTGCCAGTAGGAGCGGGCGCTCCATCAGGATGAGCGGGCGCTCCACCAGAGGAGCGGGAGCTCCTACTTTTAGGAGCAGGCGCTCCTCATGGCCCCGTGGGCGCGGCATTTCAGCCCGTAGGCGCGGACAAGGAAATCACAGATTTCGCCAAACTTACTGGAGATGCCTGGCCGCGCCCATGCCGCGGGCGCGGCTCATAAGTCCGCGGGCGCGGCTTATCGTGGCTTCCAGCCACGGCCTCTCCATTCCAAGGAGAGGGCTCTCTTCTACCACACTCTAAATTCCCAACAACAATTTCATGTTGTTGCGTATGTAGTTAGACTAATGATGATAATTTCATTAATTTAATTGTTATAAATTTGTGTGATGTAGTCTAGGATGCACGGACACTTCGTCCAACAGCCGTATCCGTGTTTGATACCGTGTCGGACACTGACACTCGTTCAACACATGGCGGACACACATAAAAACTGCATCCGATTTTTTTAATATATTTAGACACTTTGAGACGAATCGTATCCTACTATGATACGATCCGGTTTGCATTTTGATATGCCACCTCATCTTTTTTAACTTTTTTAATTAGAAAGTTAAGGTAAAGTATGAGAGAAAAAGGTAAGAGTTATAATACGAGCGCCTTCAAAACACATTTCGTAGCACATTATTGTATGTGAATTAGGAGAATATTATTTAGCTACGGTAAATGACTTGTTTTAAGGTTAATTATTTAGTGTTTTGTTGAATAGGTTGTCAAAATCTCGTTTTTTTGATGTATTATTTGTCTTGTTATTTTCCGTACCCGTGTACCCTATTTTGGGATTGCCGTTTTTCCGTGTCCGTTTCCGTATCGGTGCAACCTAGGATGTAGTACATGAATTTGTGATTTTAATCCATGTTTTCTGCCCAAATTTTATTGTTATCAAACGTTTCATGTTGTGTGATATTTGTATGCTAGTTTTTGTCTTTTTGGAGAAATTTTATTTCCCTTCTTTGTTTATTAGAATATTCCTTAATTATTCTAGTTAGCCGTTTTAGACTGTTGAGATTAATCGTCTTTTAGGTCAGTGGTTCGCCACGACACGGCTATTGTCATCTTTGGTTCACGCATCAACAAATAAGTATCTTTTGTTTAATTGCTTATTTGCTAACAACCTAAAATACGATTCTTGGTTCCAAATGTTTGATCTTCATATGTCGAATTGGATTTTCTTCATTAAAAAATGGACATATTAATGAAGATGCGTTCTTTTATTTGGAACAATTTCATGTTGTTGCGTATGTAGTTAGACTAATGATGATAATTTCATTAATTTAATTGTTATAAATTTGTGTGATGTAGTACATGAATTTGTTATTTTAATCCATGTTTTCTGCCCAAATTTGGTTTTTATCAAACGCTTCATGTTGTGTGATATTTGTATGCTAGTTTTAATGAGTTTATACATGGTTTTGAGGCTCAAAACACACCATATGTAATGCTGAATGAGTGAACTTAAGTGATGTGTTGCCTAATTTTTATGCCTAATCTTGTGCCTATCTTGACCTATTTTTTAGAGTGTATACTCTGATGGGCTCAGCTTAGTGTCATGTTTAAGGTAGCTTTTGGGTGATTTGGTATGATTGGTACTGCTGTATATTAGTGTAGGGACTGCTGTAAATATGATTTTATTTGGGCATGCTCTCTCTTGATTTTTAAGTCCGAAATGGTTTATATGATGCCTATTGAGTGTATAATGAGGACAATTGGGCATTTCAATAGAGCACTCACATTACTTGATTCAATTCAAGGGAGGTTCATTCTAAATCAAGCCTTTTATTAATTTTGGTTTGCTTGTGGCTTAATCCTATTAGTCTTAACAAATATACGTTTTTGTGAATTTGACAAAGGAATGTTGGATGTTGTATTTGTCAATTAGATATTTGTTGAATGATTATTAGAAAGTAAGAGTTATACAGTCGATATTTTGTGAGTATGACATTGTTTAGTTACCTCTAATTTTTGGTTCTACATTTTGAGAATTGAGATTGGCCTTGAAGATAACTTTTATATATCTTTTTGGTGGGAGTACGCTTTGAACAATGTTTTTTAACATGTTATTGAGCAAGTATTTCTTTTATCATGATCTATGTATGTGTTGGTTGTGAAGTTGAGATATATTATATCAATTACTTAAATGTTGAAATACAAGTCTTGTATTGAGAAGTTTTGTTTATAAACTCAATTGATTTCTTCACATCTTTTTCGGTATTTTGTGTAGAATTTACAATTCTCAATTTGTTGAACTTTTGAAAGGAAATTGTGTGATACTTTTTCTTAAGGAGAGTTATGACTTTATCTTTGGAGAATTTTCGAGTAAAGTATTTTGGGAATTAGACTACAATTTTTTCCATTATTCTATGATGGTTTGTTGTTACCACCTATGACTTTTTATTGTGTTATATTTCTTAACGAATAAAGCATGAGTAATTTTTAAATGCCTGAATTTCATATGGTGGCATGGGAATTAATATTTTGAAGTGTTATGGAATTATTATCTTTTGTATTTAATTCAATGATTCAAATTTGACTCAAGTGTTTAATTAATCTTATATACTACACCTAAGTTGTTTGACTTAGTAAAGGATACTTACTTTTTCTAACCAAGTATTAGACTGTGTTTTGGTATTTGAACCTTATGCTTTCATGTGGGGGTTCAGGTTTTGTAAACTTATGTGTTTTCTTTATAAGAAATTTATGTTATTAAAACCCCATATGAATTTTGGAGGGAGTTGTTATGTCCAAACATTTCATTCATTGAAAATGTTGGTTTTAGGTGTATTGCTAAAGGTTTTAAATCGGACTTTGTTGTCCAATGTGGGGGAAGTTATAAAGAATTAGTTTTGGACTAAAAGTCTTGGCTCAGTTTTTGCTTAGTATTTACATTTAGTTCATGACATTATATGCGAAATCTTGGAGCAATTTATCTTGAGCATATCCTAATTGATGTTATTGATCCTTTATTGAATAAATTATCTTTGAGCATATGTGTTACCACTATGTTTCAAGTGATTAGATATGCACATTGGAAATGTGGGGGTGCCCGATCTTTCTTTCTTATTTGGTTAATGGTAGATTTTTTTATTGTTAGTTTTTTCTATTGTTTAATGTTGAAGCATGAGAGTGGCTAATTGGGCTAAAGACGTTTTTTGAGTTTGCCTTAAAAGGTTGTTTTGGTGTCTCTATGTCTATAGAGTAAAAGCTTTAAATCGGTGAATTGTCATGCATACGTCTTTGTTTACCTTGGGAGAATTCATTGTGGATGAGTCATAGTTTATGTCTAACTATGTGTAGAAACTTACAATCCTTTCCTAGGGATTGTAATGTTTGATATTTCTTCTAAGGATTTTTGTTGGAACGAAGCCTTTAAGGCTAAAACTTGTGATTTGGATGAGTCTTAGCTACCAAATAAAGTTTTTGAATGGTCTTGATCATATGTGAGCATTTGTGTCCATTTGGTAATGATATGTTTCTTAGGAACTATGCTTAATCTAACATTGCCTATTATGTAAATAGATTAAATAGGTTTACTCTTCACTCGAGCAATGATCATTAGATCGGTTTGAGGAGTTTGCATAGGTACTTGAAAAGTACAAAAGATTAGAGTTTGCACTATTGCAAGTTTCTATGAGTTATTGGAGTTTGACAATGAGTTAAACTTCAAACAGTTATGTCTGCGCCACTAAGGGGTGGAGTTGTGTTTTGTAAATTGTGCAAAGCAACCTTGTATTGCTATGTCTGGTTTAAAATAATCTAAATTTCTTGATGGGATTCACCTACTTAGGTGTGGAAGTGTGGCCGCTTTTGTTTTTTTGGAGAAATTTTATTTCCCTTATTTGGTTATTAGAATATTCCTTAATTATTCTAGCCGTTTTTTACTGTTGGGATTCTTAATTAATCCATCCGTCCTTTGATTACGGAGTATAATGGGCAACTGTTTTGTCATTAATTCCAGCTAACCGTTTCCTTGATTTCGGCTGACTGTTTCGGCCTTAATTAAACCTGGACATTGTGCCGTGCTGGGCCGCCGCGGGCCGTGCCTGGCGGGCCACGGTCACCGGCGTGCCCAGATTATTGTGCCGTGCCGTGCCGGCCAATTTCACAGGCCAGCCCACGGCCTGGCACGGCCCTCGTGCCTGCGGGCTCGTGCCGTGCCGGCCTTCGTGCTGGCCTGGCGGGCTTGGCAATTTTCAATTTTTTATTTTTTTTATTATTTTATTTATTTTTTGTTAATGGTTAATAAGTTATAAAATTATAACTTATATTATAATGTATATAATTTATAAAATTATAATTATAACTTATAAGTTATAATTTTATAATTTATAATTTATAAAATTATTATCTTTATAACTTATAACTTATATTATATTTATTAAATATATATAAATATATTAATATATAATTTATATATTTATATATAAATATATATATTTATATTTATATATTATAAATATATATATAATTAGCGTGCCGGCGGGCTGGCACGGCGGGCCAAGGGGCGGGCTCGTGCTGTGCCATGCCGAAAAGTTCAGCCCTTGTCCGTGGCACGACCCATGGCACGCCAACGGGCCACCGTGCCGTGCTGGGCCACCACCCCGGGCTGTGACGTGCCGTGCCGAGAAGCGTGGCGTGCCGGGCGGCCTGCGTGCCAGCCCGGCCCGTGCCCAGCTTTAGCCTTAATTATGTGGCCGTTTCTTCCTCTTTTCTTGTTGGCAGTTGCTCTCTGTTGCTCTATATAAACCTCCTCCTGTTTTTTCGAATAAAAATGCAGAAATAGAGTCATCTCTTCTCTCTAAAATAATCATAAACACGTATTCTTAATTTTCTATTTTCTAGGCAAGTATTCTGAATTCCAGTTGGGTTTGTGAGTGTACATAAACTCCGGCGCCGTGCTTATCCTGGAGGGCCACCGCTTCTTGTCTACTGCACCGGGAGGTAGCGCGAAATTGTCATTTAGGTCAGTGGTTCGCCACGACATGACTATTGTCATCTTTGGTTCACGCATCAACATATAAGTATCTTTCGTTTAATTGCTTATTTGCTAACATAGGTACTAGCTTATACTTGGTGATTGAGAAAACCTTGAGTTGTATAAATAGTTGAATATCAACAACGGTTACATTCATTCATAAACATTACTCCTAGAACCTCACGTACTGCTTCACTCTAGCTTATCTCCAAAATGAAAACAATCCCACTCATTTCTTCTTCTTGGCCCTTTTCTCTTGATCTTGATTGTATGGCTACGCACTTGGAGTTGTATGCCTTTTGTCTCTAGCCAATGTCTCCACAATCAAAAGTCTTTATTGCTCGAGTTAAAGAATAATCTTGCATTTGCTCCCAATGCTTGTGACAAGCTTGAGGGGTAGAATCAAAGCACCGATTGCTGCCACTGGAGCGGTGTCACATGCAACAACTCCAGTGGTCGAGTTATTGGGCTTGATTTGAGTAGCAAAGATATCATTGGCGGCATTGACGATTCAAGTAGTTTGTTTCATCTTCAGTTCCTCCAAAGCTTGAATTTAGCAAGCAACAATGATTTGCAAGGTGAAATTCCATCAAGAATTGGCACACTGTCTAGCCTCACTTACCTTAACTTGTCATGGGTAGGCTTCAGCGGACAGGTACCTATTGCAATATCAAACCTTGTTAAATTAGTTTTCCTTGATATTTCAAATTCAGGGGGAGAAAATGCACCTTTATACATGCAGAAGCCAAATTTTGCAACAATCATTCGAAACCTGACTAATATTAAGGAACTCTATCTTGATTATGTCATTAATTCAGCCATAGGGGATAAATGGTGCAAGGCATTATCGTCATCGCTCCCTCGCCTTCAAATCTTGAGCATGTCCGGATGTGAGTTGAGCAGTGAAATCCATAAGTCCCTTTCAAATCTCCACCATCTTTCTATAATTATGCTCGATGATAATGACAATATGGGTGGATGAGTACCAGGATTTATGGCTAAGTGTATGTGGCCTATATGGGATAATCCCTAGTAAAATTTTTCAAGTACCCACACTAAGAACCCTTGACTTATCAGGTAATGAAAAGTTGCAAGGGAATTTGCCAGTCTTTTACAAGAATAGGTCTCTTGAGGAGTTACGCCTTTCTTCTACAAACTTTTCTGGAACCCTGCCAAGTTCCATCAGCAACCTTAAAAGGCTTCGTGCAATTGATCTCTCTCGAAACCAATTTTCCGGAATTGTACCAAGCTCCTTGAACAACCTCAAGAGGCTCCTTAGAATTGATCTCTCCTATAACCAATTTTCTGGTCCCATTCCATCATTTTCATCCATCAAGTATCTAAGATCCATAATCTTAGGTTCAACAATTTGAATGGTTCAATCAATGCCACAGATTGGGATAAGTTACTAAGTTTAGAAGAGCTTAACTTGTGATATATTCACTTGATGGAAGTATTTCTACCTCATTATTCAGTTTGCCATCACTTCAGTTGATCGATTTGTATAAAAACAAATTCAGTGGGCAACTGAATGAATTTGCAAGCATAGCCTCTTCCCAAATTAGTTATATTGACTTGAAAGGGCCAATCCCAAAGTCATTTTTCCAATTAAGAGAGCTCCAATGTTTGTGTATGTCTTTAAACAGGCTCAATGGCACGCTAGACGTAGCTGATTTTCTACAAAGATTTAAAAGCCTCACACACTACTAGAAAAAGGTCCATTTCCGACGGATGTGTTCCGACAGACACCAAAATCCGTCGGAAAGAACGAAATTTTCGATGGATTTACATTCCGTCGGAACTTTCCGACGGATATGGATTTCCGTCGGAAAATTCCGACGGAATTTAATTCCCTCGGATAATATTTAGATTCCGAGGGAAAATCCGTTGGAAAATAAATACTTTCCGACGGAATTTAAATCCGTAGGAAATTTCCGACGGATTTTGAACCATTTCCGACGGAATTAAATAAAAAAATAAAAAAACAAAAAACAAAAAACCTAACCCTGAAACGAGTTACCCCCGTTTACTAGTAGTCCGCCCCTTTTCTTCTTCTTTCTTTCTCCATCTTTCCTCTCTTCTCTTTCTCTCTCCTCCTGGTCGCCTCTTCTTTCCTCTCCCCCTTCATTTCATGTTCTTTTTTTTTTCTTTTTCTTACTCCTGCTCCTCATTCTCTTTTTTCTTTTTTTTCCTCTTCTTCTTTATTTCTTCTTCCTCCTTCGTCCTTTTCCCTTTCAATCTGTTTCATTTTTTTTCTTATTCGTTTCTGTTTCGTTTTTTTTTTCTTTTTAGTTTGTGTATGGGCGAATTCGGAGGGTTGAAGTGCGATCAAGGTTTTCAAGTCAAATTCAACCATGAAAACTCTAGATCTAGAGTTTTCATGGTCAAATTTGGCCTCGTAAACCCAATTACAAGGTTTTGTGTGGTCGAATTAAGGTATGTATCTTTTGTTTTTTTTTTTTTAATTAATTTGTTGTATTTTCGGTTTTTTTTTGTTGTTTTTTTCAGTTTTTTTTTCATTAATTTGTTGTTAGATACTTGATGTTTTTTGGGTTGTTTTTTTTCGAATTTTTTTGATGTTTAATGGGTGGGTTTCGGTGCTGGGTATGGGTGGTGAATTTAGGTGGGTTTCGGTGGTGTGTGTGGGTGGTGGGTTTCGGTGTTGGTTGGGGAGGGTGGGGAATGGTGGTTTCGGTGGTGGGTTGTAGATGGTGGTGGTAGCAGAAGAAGAGAGGAGAGAGAAAGCTAGAGAAGAAGAGAGGAGAGAGGAGAGAGGAGAAAGAAGAAGAAGAGGGGCTGGGAAATGAAAGGTCCGTGTATTTAGATTTAGGTTTTGTTTTGTTTCTTTTTCTTTTTTTATTTAATTATAAATCCATGTTTTTTTTTAATTTAAATTCGGTAAATCTTCCGACGGAAATTATTCTCTCGGAATTTAAATGTTCCGACGGAATATTCCGTTGGAACCGATTTTCTGACGCAATATTCCCTCGGAACTTTTATATTACGAGGGAAATAAAATCCTCGGTATAATTCCTACGGATTTTTCCGTCGGAAGGTCCATTTTCCGAGGGATATTTCCAACAACACAAATTTCCGTCGGAGATAGTCCCTCGGAAAATAGCCTATTTCTAGTAGTGGTGGTAGCTGGTGGTGTGGGGAGGCGTGGGTGGGTCTGGGTTAGGAGGATCTGGGCTAAGTGTAGGGAGGATCTGGGTTTGGGTTCAGTGGTGGTAGGTGAATCTGGGTTAGGCTTCAGTGGTGTGGGTGGTGGGTAAGGGTTAAGGAGGAGGGTTAGGGTTCGGTGGTGGTGGCTAAGGGTAGTGGTGGGCGAGTAAGGGTAAGGGGTAGGTGTGGCAGTGGGTGGATGAGTAAGGGGTAGGTGTGGCGGTGGGTGGATGAGGGTGGTTGGGGCTGGTAGGGGTGGTGTGTGGTTTTTTTTTTATTTTTTTTTTGGAGTTTCCGATGGAATTTCCGTCGGATTTGAAATCCGACGGACTTTCCGGTACCGGATAACATCTTCCGGCGAATTATTTCCGTCGGAAACTCCGACGGAAAAAACTGTTCCGACGGAAATTCCGACGGAATAGGCCGTTTTACCTACAAAGGGTGTTTCGACAACCCATTCCGACTGAAATTCCGTCGGAACAAGGTTTTGCGACGGAATTTCGGGTGTTTCCGACGGAATTTTGCCGTCGAAAATGGCCTCTTTTCTAGTAGTGACAGAACTTGATCTCTCATTCAATCGCTTGTCCATTGGTACAAACGATTCCGGGGAAAACTCCACTTTTCCCCAGCTACAAATCCTATTTTTGGCTTCTTGCAACTTGCGTACCATCCCTAAATTTTTAAATAACCAAACATCTTTACAAAATCTTGACCTTTCAATGAACCAAATCACAGGCACAATACCCGAGTGGATGTGGAAAATTACTAGGTTCAACCTTTCTTTCAATCACTTAGTAGAACTAGAACCACCTTTGACATTCTCAAATAATTTAGGTATTATAGACCTCTCTTCCAATAATCTTCAGGGAAAATTCCCATTTGTCAAATCCAGTTATTACTATTTGGATTGTTCCAACAATAATTTCACTTCCTTCAATCCAAACATAGGAAACTATCTATCAGATGCTAGCTACATGTCATTTTCAAGAAATAACTTACACGGGATCATCCCTGCGTCACTATGCAGTGCCAAAAATCTGGAGCTTCTTAATCTAGAACATAATCATTTGGGTGGCACAATTCCCGAATGTTTTACTACCTATGAGTTGCAATACATCCTAACAATCTTCACTAGCATTGATTTCTCCAACAATGCTTTTCATGGTGAGCTACCGGAAGAGTTGGGAAATTTGAATGCTCTTGTAGTTCTCAACCTCGCTTACAACTCCTCGGGCCATATTCCATCATCATTTGGGAATTTGAGCCAGATTGAGTCATTGGATCTCTCTTGTAATAACTTGAGTGGGAAGATACCTGCACAACTTGCAAACTTGAATTTCCTCGGCTACTTGAACCTTTCCTTCAACAAGTTGTTAGGAAAGATCCCAACAGGCACTCAACTTCAATCATTCAACGCATCTTCATATGAAGGCAACCAAGGACTCTACGGTCCACCATTGACAACAAGAGATCCAACAATGACTACACCTACTTTAAAGGGATCAAATTGGAGTTCAAAGAGCGAACAAGAGTGGATGTTAATGGGTGTTGAAGTTGGGTGTTCGGTTGGGATCACTGTCTTTGTAGGGCCTATCTTTTACATCAAAAGGTATAGGGAATGGTACTGCAAGCATCTTCATAGATTGGTCATGAAAATCCTACGAAGGGAAGATAATAGTACAAGGTCAAGGAGAAGGTAATCCGTATTTTAATGCAAATGAAATGATTATTTTCGGTCTATGTTTTGGTCAAATGGGTCAAAGGTTAAGGGATAGTCAAACAGAAGGAGTATATTTCTATTAACAAGGCATGCAAATATTTATTGGACGAAGGGAGTATTCAGGTTAGAGGGATAGACAATTTGGGGTGCAGATTCCCTTACCCCTCCACTCTCAAAGGGCCTATTCCTCTAACCCGAAATAGATTGACTTGTGAAAGGTTCCGGCTTGATAAGACCCTCTTCTCCTTAGTCCTTACCTTTATCAAAAATGAATTGGAGTTGAGTAGAGATAACGTTTTCTCTTAAGTTTGAAGACGTGATGAGAATTGAGAAAATGACTATTTACCTAATGTGGTTGGATGGATAAAGAAGATAAAGATTGAAAGATGATTTAAATAGATGGAGTAGTTAAATACTTCTTTGTCCCCCTGAATTGTCTCAATCGATCATATTTTGTGAGAGCTTTTTGAATCATACTAATACAAAGTAAAGTTATGAGTGATAAGTGAACAAAACTTGAAAGGATAAGGGTAAATCCATGTTTCTCATAGTGAGAAACATAACAAGTATCTCATAGGGGTATTTGTGTCATTTTGAGTTTGTAAGTGGGGTTAATATTGTAATTGAACTGATTCTGGGCTTCTCCTCCTCCATCCCGTTCTTCTTCTTCCTCCATCCTCTCACCTCCATAAATGGCAATCAGAAACCTTCGAGGAAGGTAAACCTTGCCCTTAAGGGTTAACCATGTCCAAATTTCTCCATTTTTGTTAGGGTTTTTCGTTTGATTAGGCGGCGAAGCCGCCGGAAAGGTGAAAGGGGATGAAGAAGATAGGGGACGAATGGTGGTGGTTTACAGGCGAAAGGATGACGAAGAAGCCACTGGAAAGGTGAAGGAGGGTGAAGAAGCCGCCGGACGATGATGATGGTGGTGGTTTTATTGAAAAGTCAGAAAGTACAAAAAAATGATAAAATATTAAAAAAGTTGATTTTATTTACCAATTTGCCATTATGAGATACAATTATGTATCTCACTATGAGGAATGGGGGCCTCCTCATATTATATATTGTTGTAAAAAAAAAAAAAGGATTTTTTATTAAGAAAGAAATGAAGGTTTTGTAAACAGGAAATTGGAACATACCCAATTATATATTAGTACGTATTAATACAAAATTTAATAAAGCTTTAGATCTCTTGTATGAAGAACTTTAAGAAGAATAAAAAAAATTACTAGTAGCTAACTCTCATCATGCAAGTTATATCTCAGAATATCATGACATCAATTCATGTATTGCAGACTACCCAAATACTCATGCATTTTACTGAAGCTAAGACATAATACCATCCGTTTAGGCGTTTAACTATGCCAAAAGCAGAAAAGCCTAATACGTAACATTGTGAGAGCAAAAAATAGATCATTATCAATGAAGGAATTAAACACTTCCCTTATTTTAATTTATGATTAATAAATTCAAAATCATTTCTGCTGTGAAGCCTTCATGCTTGTTGCATAGCTTAGTCTTAAAGTGTCGAAGATTCAGTCATTACTCTGAGAGAAGTCTTAACAGGCCTCCAGATTTACACCAAGTAACAGCTATATGGTTGGTTGAGTTTAGTTTTATACAGACTAGAAGAATGTTTACTTAGCTAAGGACTAAGTTAATGACTTGAATGCTAAAATTAACGACATTTTTTTTCTTCATCACAAAACTAAAGCTTGAAAATAAAGAACACATGCAACTATATGAGACGTGACTGCTAAACTAACAAAGATTAGTTATGACATTTTTCTTTGTCAAATAACAATAGCTTGAAAATAATGGACAAATACGATTTTACGAGACTATGACGACTAGTGTTTGCCAGTTACATCAGCCCTTATACGAGATATTGAGGAAACAATATCAGGCCATACTGAACCTTGTTAAGATTAGAAATTTGTCATTATCATTTATCAAAATCAAAGGAATTCAGTTTAATCCTTCTGATACTACTTCACTGATTGTATTGGCACACCAACAAAAAAAAAATTCTCTATTGTATGGATTTTAGTAAGTATCGTTTCAAATTGATGTACTCCCAAATTTCCATGCCAAAAATTTCAATGAAACATCCTAATTAAGTGACTTCCAAGTCAAAAAGCCAGTGAATTTTCCACACATAATGTCCCATTCTATACTGTAAACTTATAAAGGCCTTATCTTAGAATAAAGTCAGAACATTAATATAAGTTTATCTGCTATTAAAATATATACCTATACTTACAATTGCTTGTGCTTAATGATGTCAAACATTTGATCGAAAAAGGATATACGTTTACCTTTCCCTTTCTTGCTGCTTATATGTAGAAATATTAGTTACAAATTTTTGTGGTTCCTCACTTCCTCATGTACAGAATAGAATTAGTTTGTTACAAATATTTGTGCTTGCTCATGTGAAAAAAACAAACCAACCTTGTATGTTTACCATAGAATTATTTTGTGGTATTAGCTAAGTTAGAGATTGATTTAAATATTGTCTTTGAATGTATTCACATACTAAGGTTTGATTGTAGTATTACAATTGATTTCCTAAATCATAATACTGTCACCGTTTCAGGTTATGGATTCTTCATTTCCATTTTGTGAAAGAATTTGTATCCCTTTTCAACCCATGTTGGTTCAGATCACAGACTGTCTTGATTTCCCGAAGCCTACTTATTTTGTGGTTGATCATGTTACTTGTAGTTCATCTGTTTATGTAAGGACTGAGGGTGAACGTGGTATTTTCTGGTTTATTGGTGGTAAAGCAGCCAGTATTGATGAGTCTCAAGAAAATGCAGCTCAAAGAGCAGTGCACTTTTTAATCAACAAATATAATATTTGTGTTGGCAATTTCACTACGGATAGAATGAGAATGTATGAACTTTGCGGGAAATTGTATAGGCTAAAACGCAATGCTTTAGAATCTGGTAATCATAAACAAAGTTGCAGTAAGAAAATTGTAGGTGATGTGATACATTTATCTATTGATTATGTGGGATTCATGGTTAAAGTTGTTAGGAAAACTGGTGTGCTTGTAACTGGTGTAGAAACAATGCACTCAGAAGGTCAAGGTTATATATCTTGGGTTGTTGTCACATGTCACCATACCAAGAGTGGAATGGAGTGCTTCTTCAGTGAGCTATGCTCAGATAGCAATAAGTCTCAAGAAATGGTTACAAAGAAAGCAATATACTATATCATGTATCAGTATAACTTAGATATAGTGGATGCAAATTACGGCTCTGCAAATTTGAAAGGTGTACTGTGTTCTCTTGAAAGGGAAAGCTGCTTATGCTTAGAAGAGAGAAAGAAAGGGCAGAGACATCATGGACGACTGATGCCTTTCTTAATTGAAGAAGCTCCATCAACTCCACCTAAAGCTAATTTACAGACTCCTGTGCCTATTGATGCTCCAGTTACTCCTGCTAATTTAGCGACTAAGAGACCATTGGGATCACCATCTACACCTGACATTGGAAGTAATACCCCATCTGTAGTCCGAAAAAGAGTTAGATTTTCATAATTCTACCAGCATTGTACTGACCAGCCAATTTCTGCTATCTGTGTGTATTGTAGTTTCTACTGTTTAATTGCAATGTGTAATTCTGATTTACATTTAGTAATGGTTAGCTGATAATTATTCAGTATACACCGTTTACAAGGATGTATTCTAGATAATGCTTTGGTGTACTTTTGTTCTACAAATTCCACTACTAATGTATTGTCCATTTCATATTTACTATCAATGCTTTATGCCTATGTCTATTCTAACAATCAAATGTTACTATTAATGCTCATTCATACAACATTACTCAGATAACAAAACTGCCCTTAGTTCCACCATTGTTGTTATAACTGATGGTTTCTAATGTGATTACTAGGGTGGAAAACTAATTCAATGTCAAGGAATGTGCCATATACCAGTCGACGTAAACGTGCAATAGAAGGGATGTCGCATTCTAATATTAGGTGTTTATTATATGGATACTATTGCTAAAGCTAATGTCCTTTGCTTCAATATATAATAATTGAAATATTAACTCAATGTATATATAATAATTGGACAGAATCAAAATTCAAGGTTAAGACTAATTGTTTACAAATCTAGCCATATACTATAAATTACCTTATGAAATCATATAGAGTTTGTATTGCACTTTGAATTGCAGTCGAAGATATAGAACTCGCAGTCAGACACAGTCTCAAGCAAAGGATACTTTGGGTAGTTATCACGTTCAGATTCAACAATTTCTATTTACCAATAGGTTTGGCCACAAGAAAACTAGCTATGTTATAACAAGGTTTGAATTATGTAGATCAAACAGGATCATCTACTGGACTACACTTTCCTGCTAACCCTGTTGAAATTCGACCAGCTGTGACCCAAACTAGCAAGCGCAGAAGAGCAATTAATATGATGTCTCAAAGCCAGCCTATAAGGTATTCACAGTGAAAAGTAATACAAAGATCAAGTTATATGCATCAAGAAATATAATGCAAGTTTCTAATATATAAATTTACTCTTTATTTAATGTTGAAATAGGACCAAAGTCCCTAGGCAGCCACGTACTCGACATTCTATTAAGACCATTGGTATTACAGTTATACCTTTTTATTAAATAGTGACAAATTTGATACAGCTGCATTTCATTTCCAGCAATAAAAGAAACTAATATACTACAATGTATATTGCAGATAGACCAGCAGCAACTATTGCTTTACATTTGCCCACTGGTCCTCTCAATTTATGGTAAATGCAATGCAAAGAAATTTGCCTTTGAAAGCTTACATTTTTGTTGTGGTAATGGACAGATAGAAATTACTTCCAATGAATACCCACTAGAGCTCAAGAGGCTTTTCACAAGTCACAAGTCAGTGAAATTCCCACAAAGCTAAGCAGCAAGAATTCCGCAACTGATGGATACTCTAGCTCAACAACTGAAGCTACAACACAAGGGCAAGAGTATAGTGACAACAGGGATACATCTGCTGCGAACCTTTTGTTACTTGCAGAAATAGCCACAGCTGATAACCCGACATCAACTAAGAAACGTACATCAGATATTTAAAATCACAAAACCTGAAGCAAAATTAAAACAAACTTAGATCACAAAATCCTTTTGCCAGAAAATATATAGAACCTATAATATTATATATATTTGTTGCATTTTGCTTACCTGTAGCACTATAATTTCCAACATCTACTAAAAATGGTGTATGCAGTTGCTGCATTTTGGACATTCTGCTGCACTAAAGTTCTAAAAGCATATTAACATTTATATATCTTAGTAGGATGTAAATCTTTTGAAGTGTTGTAAAGGAACATAAACCCCAACCAATGTTCCCTATATAACACTTTATGTTAACATAATTCAAACGAGGACGGATATATAATTAGCTTAGCTAAAGGTTATGTAAACCTTTTGATGGTTATCAATGTACATGTAATATATATAATACATGTTCTTATGGAAAACATGTCCTATATATTTTGTAAACTGTTGAGTGCAACAGATCTAAGTTAAGTAAGTAAAAATTATATTAAAGAACTTTAATCTATTTTTGGTTTCGCAAGCTTCGCAATCTATTCTATGCATATAAATGCTACTCTTATTGTACCACGCTGCATAAACTGCTACTTATAACAGTTTACATCCTTACATCTTATACAATGTAAACTGATCCAATTCTATAGAATAAGTTTTACATAAAACTCAACTATTAAATCAGTTTACATTATCTTGTAACTATCCCCTACCTATAACCTATCTAAATTGCATACAATTCCTTTAGACTCAACATAGAAATACCTTATTTTTAATATCACTTAACTTTATAATAGCAAAAAATATATATATAGATGAAAGGTACAAATCTAGAAAACTATAACTACAGCCTAGCTTCATCACTAAAGTTCAACAAGCTTTAGTACACACATATCTATTCCCAATACACCACTACTATGTGACTCTATCCATATAGATTAACATTATTGAGATTATAATAAGTGCCATTAACAACAGCATCAAATTATGTGTTGGCTTCATGTCCATCTCGAACTGGTACAAATTTTGTTGACCATATTATCCTTGGAACAACTTCAACTAAATTACTATCATCAAATTCAGCACTTCCACCAATATAAGTTTGATCAGAATCCTCTGCATCCAAGTCAATAATAATAATATCATTTTCTCGAAGATTCATTGTTCCATCCCTACTTTTTATACCACTACACTATCCTTCCAATTTCAGCTCAGTTTCTTGATTAACATCTTTCTTCAGCACCTGCAGATATGTAAACATTTGTTGAGAAACCTCACCCATATAACTAATGAAACTAAACACCCTTTGCAATTTACTCTGCTCCGGATCAGGAATCCAGATCTTAGGAACAAATGAATAAGAAGATGATATATTATTATTTCTCATCATTTTCAGAAGATATTTAAATATCCATATAACAAAACTAAGTAACTTAGACTATATAAATACATTGATTTTGCTTGTTCCTCAAGGCAAAAATTAATATTGGTAACTTTTTTGGGAAAAGTACACGCAACACGTACTCACACAAGAAATTGGCCAAAGGTGATCCCGAAGCCAAAAGTATGTAATGGACCCTAACTACTTATATATCCTCTAATGTTTAATGTGAAATTAGTTCTAAATATAACTACTATAAGTTGCATGTGGAACTGTCTTGTGATATACAATATTTCTTATATATTCCTGTTCCTTATTTCCACTGTCCCTATACAGATTTAAATTCTATATCAAATAATTATCTTAAACCACTTTCTTAATGTGAACTTTCTTTACCACTTTGTTTGTTACCTCCTATGTATATGATACACACCACAAGTAAAAACCGTAGTACACATAGTCTCTGCACTGCCCCAACAAAAACAAACACCCGCAACCTATCATCTTCTAAACAATACCGATAACTTGGGTCCACAACTAGTTTTCAAAACCATGTCCCGTTCTATACTGTAAAATTTTTAATGGCCTTATCTTAGAATGTCAGGAGCCCTCAGGACATTAATATATATAGGGAAAAACTGCTGTTAACGACATTAAGCAAAACCTTTTTTCCCCATTCATAACATGAAACCAAAGTGATAAACACTTAGAAGTATATGTGTATGTAAAGTTTAGAGATCAACAGGAACATCAAATTAAGAGAATACTAATACACTAATTTGTATTCAACAAAACTCGGATTCATTAGTCTAATTAATCTGACCCTTTCAATACGTAATTCAATGCTTAATTAAGCACGTACATTTTGAACAACCTTGAATGTTCAATCATTAAAAGAGTTGTACTGCATGCCACAATGCGAGAAGTTTCATCATTCTGAGTGACAGACAGTATCATAGTACAGTTGAAAAGTCCGCAAATTAAAGACAGTATTATTGGTACATCCTACAAGCTACATAAAGAAGAAGACTTGGTGCGAGTAGTGTCTTGCAGGTCAATCGGGGTCTGGACTTTCCAATGGCGTAGTACATGAATGTATGGTTGTAAATAAGTTACTAGCTAGCAATTGATTTATTTCAAAACAAACGGAGTCTAAGACTTGTTTTTTCACTCATATAACATGAAACCAAAGTACTTCCTCTGTTTTGTAATAATTGCAACACTAGGGGTTACCGTTGCACAAACTTATGGAAGAATTATAGGGTGTTGATTAAAGGGAGAATTATAAATAAAGTATTGTTAGTGGGTATATACGGAGTATCTTATTGTTATAAGTAGGTAGAAATAATAATAATAATAATAATAATAATAATAATAATAATAGTAATAATAATAATAATAATAAGTGGGATTGGTAGGATAGAAAAACAATAAAAAAATAGTTGATCCTTAATAAATAAAGAAGTATTGCAGTATTATAAAACGGACAATAGAAAAAAAAAATATTGCGATTATTACGAAACAAAGGGGATAATAAGAACTTAAAACGGGACAAAATCAAGTTCATTAGTATAGTTAATCCAACCCATTCAGTACGCAATCCTATGCTAAAGCACATTTTGAGCAAGTCTAAATATTCAGTCTTGTTCAAAATGTGCTTAGCATAGGATTGCGTACTGAATGGGTTATACTGAACAAGCCTAAATAATTCGGTCATTAAAAGAGTTATACTGGCATATATTATGGCAGAAGTTTCATCTCTAATCTCTAATTCTAAGTGACAGCCACATATAAAGACAGAATTGGGTACACCCCACAGGAAGCTACTTGCTTGGTTCGTGTAGTAGCTTGCAGGTCAATCGGGGTCTTGGCTTTAATAATTGTGGTCTTAAATTATGTTACATTGCAAATATATCGAAAGGTAGATTGAGCAAACCTCGAGTTGAATAAATAGTTGAATATATGAACAACTATTTCATTCATTCACAAATATTACTCCCATTACCTCACGCACTGTTTTTCTCCAAAATGAAAACAATTCCACCCATTTCTTCATCTTGGCCTTTTCTCTTTCTCTTAATTGTATGGCTATGCACTTGGTGTTGTACACCGTATGTTTCCAGTCAATGTCTCGACGACCAAAGATCTTTACTCCTTGAGTTCAAGAACAATCTTACTTTTGGTTCCATCACTTTAGAGGAGTCAATGGGGTGGAATCAAAGCACAGATTGTTGCCAGTGGACCGGCGTCACCTGCGACAACTCCACTGGTCGAGTCATTGGCCTTTCTCTGACGAACAAGGACATCTCTGGGAGTCAATCTTACTTATGTAGTATGTTTCATCTTCAGTTCCTCAAAAGTCTGAATTTGCTATTGAACAATAATAATTTGCAAGGTGAAATTCCGTCAGCAATTGGCAATCTACAGTCTCTTGAGGAATTATATCTCGGATCTGCGAACTTTTCTGGAGTCATACCAAGTTCCATCAGCAACCTCAAGAAGCTTCGTATAATTGATCTCTCTAACAACACCTTTTCTGGTCCCATCCCATCATTTTCGTCAATGAAAAATCTAGAATATTTAGATCTTAGTCACAACAATTTAAATGGTTCTATCAATGCCACAGAGTGGGATAAATTACTCAGTTTAGAATGGCTTGATTTGTCATATAATTCACTGGATGGAAGTATTCCTACCTCTTTATTCAGTTTGCCATTACTAAAATACATCGATCTGAGTGGAAACAAATTTAGTGGCCAACTGAATGAATTTGCAAGTATAGCTTCTTCCCAGCTATATTCTCTTGTCTTGAGCAACAATAATTTGGAAGGGCCAATCCCAAATTCAATTTTCGAATTAAAAAACCTTTCCGAGCTGGATCTATCTTCAAATAGGCTCAATGGCACACTAGACCTGGGTAATGATATTCTACATAGCTTCAAGAATCTCAGGTATCTTGATCTTTCAAAAAACCGATTGTCAATTACTACCAATGGTGGCGGAGAAAACTCCTCTTTTCCTCAGCTATGCATTTTAAATCTAGCTTCTTGCAACTTGTTTACCATCCCAAAATTTTTAAAAAATCAAACATCATTACAAAATCTTGACCTTTCAATGAATCACATCACAGGCACAATGCCTGGGTGGATGTGGCAAGTTCCTCAACTCAACCTTTCTTTCAACCACTTAGAGGAACTAGAAATACCTTCGACATTGTCTAACTATGACTGCGATGAACAGTTATTACACTACTTTATAGATAAATATTTGGATTTTTCCAACAACAATTTTAGTTCCATTGACCCTAACATTGGCAACCATTTATCATCAACAAAAGCTTACTACCTGTCATTTTCGAGAAATAACTTTCATGGGATTATCCCTACGTCACTATGCAATGCCACGAATCTAGAGGTTCTTAATCTCGAATACAATAACTTTGGTGGCATAATCCCTGATTGCTTTACCGCCCTGACTCAACTAAGCACGTTGAATTTGAGAGGGAACCAATTACATGGTGAAATTCCTGCTAAATTCAGAGAAGGTTGCAGCTTGGAAACTCTCGAATTGAATGAGAATTTTCTTGAAGGAAGGATACCTCGATCACTTGCCCACTGCAAAGCATTAAAAGTATTGGATCTTGGAAATAATCAATTGAATGACACATTTCCTTGTCATTTGAACGGCTTATCTAACTTGCAAGTTCTCATCCTTCATTCCAACAAGCTCCATGGAACTATTGTTTGTCCACAGAGTCACTCAATATGGCCATTACTTCAAATAATGGACGTATCTTCCAATCACTTTATCGGTGAACTGAAAGCCCAAAGTCTTTTTAATTGGCCATTGATGATGGCTGGAGTAACTAAAGAGCAATCAGAACCAAGCTTTATACAAACCTCTTTTTCAGGTGGTGCTAAATACTATCAAAATTCAATTTCACTCAACTTTAAAGGTAATTCCTATCAGTTGCAATATATCCTAACAATCTTCACTAGCATTGATTTCTCCAACAATGCTTTTCATGGTGAGCTGCCAGAAGAGTTGGGAAATTTGAATGCTCTTGTAGTTCTCAACCTCTCTTACAACTCTTTCTCCGGCCATATTCCATCATCACTTGGGAATTTGAGCCAGATTGAGTCATTGGATCTCTCTTGGAATAACTTGAGTGGGAAGATACCTGCGCAACTTGCGAACTTGAATTTCCTAGAGTACTTGGACCTATCCTTCAACAAGTTGTCGGGAAAGATCCCAACAGGCCCTCAACTTCAAACATTCAAAGCATCTTCATATGAAGGCAACCAAGGACTCTACGGTCCACCATTGACAGCAAAAGATCCAACAGTGACTCCACCTACTTCTTCAGAGGGATCAAATTGGAGTTCAAAGAGCGAACAAGAGTGGATGTTAAGGGGTGCTGAAGTTGGGTTTCCGGTTGGGATTACCGTCTTTGTAGGGCCTATCCTTTACATCAAAAGGTATAGGGAATGGTATTGCAAACATCTTCACATACTGATCATGAAAATCCTACGAAAGGAAGATAATATTACAAGGGCAAGGAGGAGGAGAAGGAGGAACCAACAAAGGCAGAGACACTAGACCCATAGAAATCAAGTAGAAGTCAATCAAGGGTAAGTATGATTTAAATTATCACTTAACATATTCAAGTTTGTATGTCTTTCTATACATACTCCGTATTATTTTTGTTTTCTCTCCTCTGTTTTGCCTCACTTAAAAGTACCATTTTTAATAGCTACTCCTACATTGCCTTTTAAATTTCCAAGACTATTTAATTTGTTTCATAAATAAACGTTCTGGTCTTTACAAAATCTTCCGTTATACATTTATACCTCCATCTAAGAACGTAAGATTTTTTAATTGTTGTTTCAATATTTCATAAATTGTTATTGAATTTCTTATTCATGTGGTTTCATCTTTTATATAGGTGTTGCTGTGTTCGATCCTGCTGTGGATGACAAATAATGTAATGTGTTGAATTAAAGATTTTACGCATGTATAGTGAAATAATGAATCATAGTAATTAGTATAGTTTGTAAGACTTTAAAAATTGTGTAAGTATCAAGGTATGACACTTTTTAATAACAGTTGTTGCTGCTTTTAAATTGTGTTCCTACTCTTTATACATATTCCCCTTAGCTTTATAATTGAACTAATATAACCTTTACTTTTTGTTCTAAAAGCATGTCCAAGTCGCGTTCTTAGATCCAACAAGTCCCATGGAACGAATGCTTCAAATTATATTACAGATTTATCTTTCCGGCAATTTAGCAGCCAAGTAACTGGCCATCTAAAATTATGATTGCTAAAATAAGTTTTACTCAATTTGAGCTAGCTTGGATCCCTACAAATTCCCTCCCCTGCTTGAACTTACACATGACATATATGAAGATCCGAATATACAACAACAAATTCATACGGCAAGACCATTCCTCCTTGCTCCTTACGTACTGGATGCGCAATATATAATATCTATCTTTCCTTATTTGGGTGACCCCATTTTTTACAAGTGGCCATTGAATCCACAATTTTTGGCGAAAGGTCTTTAAATTGCATCCCAAAGTAAAATTCACGTTGAACCTAACTAAGGCCCACTCTTTTGTCATGGTTAATCTTTTACAGCCGACTCTTTTGTCATGGAGCTTTGGCCGACCATTATTCCACACATTTAGTATCAAGGCCAACAATGTAGCTATTTATATACTTTAAGTATGTAGCTAATTTTGATATGTAATTGTTCATAACAGGTTTTTTTTTTGTTTTTAATTTGTTAGTGTTGTAGTGGCTTATGAAACATCTTGTTATTTGTTGTCTTGGATATTGAAATAATATGTCTTAAAGAATCTCTAATAATTGTAGGTAGGAACTAGCTGCAATCTTCAAATTCGCTTGACCATTGGACTAAAAGCTAATTGAGAAAGTGGTGCTCATCATCTAACATAGGAAGCTAAGCTAGTACCTAATCATTGGGGATACAAACTAACTTACTAGCTTAGCTAGAAAGTGAACAAATCTTTCGGGTTGCTTCATATAAATTTCTTCTTCAAGATCTCCATATAAAAAGGCAGTTTTGACATTGAGTAGTTCTGACACACTCAAACAATACTCTTCATTCTTCTAGAATATAGTCAACTTGCAACATTCAAGCAAAATCTAGAAAACTCTCCTAAAATATCATCACTCCACAGCCATAATACCACCTACTCCAACAACTATAAATAGTTGGAGTTTGATTATTTTTGATACATCCACAAAAAAACCTTGATCATTCCAAATATATTACTATACTACATAAAACCCTTCCAACTAAACCAACTTCCTTCTTCATATTTCCTCCTTGTATAATTCCATTATTCCTTTTTAATACTCCCTAGTGAGTTCTTTATTTGTGAGAGTTATATTGTACTCCCTCCGTCTCATAATATAGTTCTTGTTTTCCTATTTTGGAAATTTAAAATATTGTTCCTGTTTTATTTTTGGATAATATGCAAAGGCCTTTATACTAAAAATAGTATAGTGCACCCGGAAAGAACATTAGGCATATTTTAAAGAACATGGAAAAAAAAATGAACATACTAGTTTTTGAAAAAGAACATGCTAGTGTTTGAAAAAGAACATGTTAGTGTTTGACAAAGAACATACCTATATATTTTTAATAATATGTTCTTCTATACTTATGCTCTTTAACATGTGAATTAAACATGTTTTTTGGGTTTCAATAGTACAAAATATGTTCTAAAAATATGTTCTTTTAATTTGACTTGTTTGTTCTTTGAATATGGCTCTTTTTTTTTTTTTGAAAGGTGCTCGTATGTTCTTTAAGGTAATGAGTTTTTTTTTTTAATTATGTTCTTTAAGACTTTAACGTGTGTGATTTGAAGAATACATTTGCTCTTGTAAAAAAAAAAAAAAAAAAAAAAAAAAAAAAAAAAAAAAACGCGTGTTCTTTTTACCACCCCCACCTTCTCCCCTCCCCCTTTAAAAACCAAGCCTCTATGATTTACAGGATAACAATTAACGGACACGCTGAAATTGTCAATATCACAATTCAATAGTAAGCTAAATTTCCAAGTAGATAAACCAGTAGCAATAATCCAATAGAAGAACATCGTATTACATCAAAAAGAACATTATCAGAAACATTAACTTTAAATAAAAGAACATAATACAAATTTGAAAAAGAACGTCGTATTACATCAAAAAAAACATTATCAGAAACAATTAATAAATCATTGAATCATTTCCTAATAAATAGATCTACCATTTTCAGTTGCATTGAAAACTTCAAAATTCCAAATTAACTCGTGAACAATAACAGAGACCCTACCAAACAAATTTACAATTTTTTTAGTACACTAACAACTTGAAATGCCAAATTAAGTGAGAAAATGTTGAATGAGAAATTCGCACTTACCCATCGTTTTTAGCCTTCATAATTGCAAAAAAACTTGATTAATTTCTGAAGATGATATGGATTTTGAGTAAAATAGGGCCGGGTTTCTTTGAAAGGGGGGAGATGGGGAAGGTGGAGAAGATGGAAATTTACTTTTTGGGTTTTTCTACATTATGACCCTGTTTTTTCGCTTTTTCTACGTTGTGACATGCCTTTTTTGATTTTCTACGCTGTAACCCTAAAGTACCTAACGTTTCTATGTTGTGACACTGTCGTTAAGTTGACGTTAATGTCTTCCGTTAAGTTTATGGGAGTGGTTAGTTTTAGGCTGTTATTAGGTTTGGGGGGAATATTTCCCTCCAAAACAGTGCTTCCCTCCTTTCTTCTTCCTCCCCGTATAAATCCCCTAAATATTTCTAGGGCTCCATTGTAAGTAATTGCAGATTCAATTGAAGGAAGAAGCCATGTCTAGTTCTCGCTGCTCGTTCCCCTCTAATTCATCATGTTCGTTGCAATTCTTGAGCCCACGATGTTTCTGCAACCCTCCAAAAATGGCGAAGTTGAAGATTTCAACAACAATTCGCAACCCTAGGAAAGCGTTCTTTAAGTGCAACGATTGTGGGTTTTTCAAGTGGATGGATGAAGGAGATGTGCAAGGTCTTGAAGCTTTGAGGGGTGATGAAATCGAAATTGCGGATTTGAAGGAGAAAATAACAGAGCTCATTAGCTACATTAGGGAAGTAGTTAAATTTGGGGTTTTTATGTATGTTGTGTTAGTCATAATTGTGTTGTTTAAAAAGGGGGGTTAAAATTATTGTAAGATGTATCTTTTATGTGTTAATGAAATTGGTGGAAAAACCATTTTGTTTCATTTGTTTATGTTCAATGACATTTGAATTTGTTTCAGTTGCTGTAAGAATCCACAGTACAACAATGATAAAAAGGCAACATAAGTGATACTAACAGCCCAATATATACATAATGTTAATAGTTTGACAGCCAACATATAGCATAAGTGTTTAACACCCAAAAAATCATCCAACATTTCCTAACATCAGTTTCACAAAACAAAACAAACCATAATCAGATGTGAGGCTGTAAATACAAAATGCAACCAAGTATGTTCCATAAAGAAGCTCCAAAATATTAACAGTAGGGTTAATATGTCCAAAAAATCCCACATTGATGCTCAAATCATCCATGGCCTGTTGGAACACAGGGGCTCATAACATGGCAAGTCTGTTCATTATCTTTAGCAGGGTTAGGCTGAGAGGAAGGGCCTTCAGGAGCAGGAGGGTATCTGTTTGTGTATGTAGATGGCATCACTGGTTGGCTTGAGGACCCTACATTTGTCTGAGATGAGCTGCCACCAATCATCTGCTAAATCATGTTGAAATCCATCTCACTCTGACTGGTTTGCTGGGTTGTTCTCTTGCCTCTGGAAGCAGTGCTGGGTGTCTTGCCTTTGGTAGCAGTGCTGGGTGTCTTGCCTTGCCGAGCCTGTTTCTCCTTCTTAGTCAAACCACCCTTGCAAGTAGCAGCATTATGGCCATGCTGTTTGCATTTCTTGCACTGAACAGTAGCAGACCTCTTCCCTTTTCTCTTCTCTCCCTCTTCTCTTCTCCTATTTCTAGAAGGTCTGCCCACACTTCTTTTCATTGGAGGTGGGACCAAGTTGGGGACATCCATGTCAGGCCATTGCTCAGGGGATGGAATGGGCAATATATTTCCACTGTATGCCAACTTATACCTAGCCACAGAGTACCACTCCCTGACAAAATCAGTTGGATCTTTCCCAGCATCAAGTATGGCCCTAATTCCATGCCTACATGGAATGCCACTTACTTGCCATCTACCACACACACATGACCAGCTGTTCAAAGAAACTGGTAGCATGCTTCTACCATCAGACACCTCATACTCTCCCCTCCTAGAAGGATATGCATGGCATAACCTAGACTCCTTTGTCAAAGCCCTAACCCTCTCTCTAATGTTAGGACAGATGCCCTCATCTATCCATTGCTCAGCAAGTTGTTGTCTTGAAGCATGCCTAACCATAGCAATTCTTCTAATTCCTGTAAAGGGTTTAAAAAAAAAAAGTGAAGTCATTAATCATGCACTAACAACATATAGCATAAGTGTTAACCTAAATGATATACCTTCAAGTAGTGTTAGGATTGGATAACACCTATCAACACCAATAGTGTTGTTGAAACTCTCAACAAAATTGTTAGTGTTTTCATCAGAAGACAGTTGTGGGTCAAATCTCCATCTTGTCCACCTCTCAAGGGGCCCCACCTCCTTGAACCACTTCACAGCTCCAAGTCCAGCAGTAGTTTGAACTTTTTGAAGAGCTTTTTTAAAGCTGAAGGCAGAGTAGGCATTAGTCACCCCCCAGAACAGTTTGTGCATCAGGATGCCTGGGTAATCAGCCTTGAAATTTTTGCATAAATGCCTGGCACAGTATCTTCTAGGTACTTTTGGCCACACTTGATCCAAAGCAGGGTCAATTCCCTACACAAATTTTGACATATTAGTGTTACTAAATAACAAAAAAAAAAAGAAATTCTCACTTAACTTAGAACAATTACATACCTTCTGCCTATCTGACATTATAGTCCAATCAACCCTTCCTGTGGCAGTGAGAGTGTTCTTCGGGTGATGAAAGAACCAAGACCAACTTTGTTTGTTCTCTGAGTCTACTACAGCAACAGCAACTGGGAAGATTTCATTATTCCCATCTAAAGACACAGCTGATAAAAGGATTCCTCCATAGTTGCCCTTCAAATGGAAACCATCAACACCAACTAAGCCCCTACAACCACCAATCAAGCCTTCAAACTGTGCTGCAAAGGAGATGAAAATAGACTTGAATTGTAGAGGCTGTTCAGGTTGCTGCAAGGCTTTTCATGTACAAAATGCCACTGTCCCTGGGTTTCTCTCCTCCATCAAATGGCAGTACAAATTAAGCTTGTGATAGGACTCATCATGCCCTCCCTGAATGAGGTCCATAGCAATACTCCTCATTTTGTACAGAGATGAGCAAGCCATTGTAATACCAAATCTCTCCCAGAGCAATTGATTAAGGGCTTTCCCTTTGATATCTGGGCTGGCCCTAATATCTTCCAACAACTTCTGGGCTGCCCACTTGCAATTACACATTGGATTATTCACCATATTCAGGTCACATGTATGACCATGCTTTATGCTCTTTATGGCCCAAGTAAACCCATCTTGGAGCACAGTAGCATGTATCCTCCAATTACATCTGATATCAGCACATTCAGCAGTGTATCTGTCAATTTCAGATTTCCTAACTACCAAACTAAAACCTTCTTGGATGCAATAGTCTCTAAGGGCTTCCTTAAAGTGATCCTTATCAACAAACAACTGCCAAGGCCTTAAGGAAATTCTCCCAAACTCTGCATCATCATACACCTCACCCTTTTTAAGCAACTTTCCCATGTGAGCCCCTTCCTCATCAACATACTTCTCACTAGACCTGAATGGTTCCCAACCTCCATCTACATAATTCTGCTGTAGTAACTCATCCACATTCTCCTCCACCAAACCAGGATCACCTTCCTCACCTTCACTGTCATTATCAACCTCTTGCTCCACATCAGGTATGTACTCACCATCACTCTCAGAACTATTGTCATCATTGTACTGCATGCTATCATCATCATTAACCTCACCACTTGCACCTCTTCTCCTAAGTACCCTAGAACTCTGAACTTCTGTTGTAGTTTAGGATGACTGAGGTTGTGGGCTTGGAACATACACACCCTTAAGCTTTGCAGTGCTGTTGGGCAATTTCTTACCATGAAGAAAGATAACAGCTCTGGTTTGGCAAGTTCTGGTTTTCCTAATTGGCTCAGATGGGGATGAATTTTGGTTACTTCTTGGTGGTCTGAATGGTGCCACATTAAGCTTAGGGCTGGGGTTAGCTTGCAAAAGTCTTGGGCTTCTTCTGTGTGGAGGAGAAAGCATTTGGGATTGAGAGGTATTTGAATGAAACCAATCATCATCACATAGTATGATATGTGGGGGAGAATCAGGGGATATTTCTTCTAACATCCTAGGTAACCTAGGCCCACTGACTGGGGGGGTAACTTTTGGGGTGACAAGGACCCAGTCAACCTTCGGCTCCTCCTAACATGATCTACTATAGTAAGGGTCCCTGATCCAATGGTTGGGTGTTCAGGTTGTACAGGTTTTTTGGTTTTCCAGGTGGTTAACTTTGGTCTGAATTTTTTAGGTGGGCCTGATTTGAAGGTGCCTGGTTTACAAAAGCCTGGTTTAGATGAGGATGGGTTAGATGGGCCTGCTTCTTTTGGGCTTGAGGGAGGGGGTTCTAGGTAACCAGCAGATGGCCCAACAACAACAGATGGACCACTAGCAGAAGATGGCCCAGTAGCACAATCTGGGCTTGTAACAGAAGTTCAGGCCTGTGTGTTTGGCTTTTTTAATTGGGGTTTCACTGTCCTAGCCAAATTCAGTATAAAATTAGGCTCACTCAAACAACCAACCCACAAATTTATCTCTTTGGTTTCTATAGTCCCAAATATTTTCATCAATGTCCCATCATCCACTAATTTAACAGCCTTCTGATTATAGCAATAATGTATCCCAGGATACTCAGGTAACTCAAACCCTCTATTAGCAAATTCCTCACGAATATCATTAATCACATCAATTAGCAAACATTTATCAACATCATCTATTGTTAAATCCACACAATTACCAAGATAGTGGATTTTCAAAATCCTCTCTTCCATCTACAATATGTTACCAATACATCTATCAATAATCAACCAACTTAGTTACAATAACACATCCTACCCAGAACAATTAAACACCCCCACACACACAAATTAGTACAACAAAACTGATAACAATCACGCCAATTATACAAAATCGAAAAAAACACACAAACTAAATTACCCAGAACCAACATCACCCACAACCAAACAACGCAAATTCCCACAAACCACCATGCAAACAATACAACTCAACAAAATTTCCAAGCTTTTTCAAGTAATGAACCCAGTACATTCATAATTCGACAATTTTAAAACGAAGAATAAGCGAACGAAATACATACCTTTTTACCACGCTACTACGCCCCTCCGAGATTGTTCTCCTCGAATGACAGACTGCGAATTTTGCGCAACAATTCTGTGAAAATTTCTCTTTTTAGGGTTAGGTTTTTCTCTTTCTGATCAGTGAATGAATGAAACAGGGGGAATGAAGTCAGAGAAGAGGAGGGAATTTTGAAGGAGAGAGAACGTCCTTTGTTTGAACAGTAACGGTTAGGTGACGAATTAATTGCATACACTAACGTCCGTCATAAATGCATGTTGACGTAGGTTACTGCTTAATGACTATTCGTAAAACAAGGTCACAGCGTAGAAAATCAAAAATGTCATGTCACAACGTAGAAAAAGCGAAAAAACAGGGTCATAACGTAGAAAAACCCTTACTTTTTTTTTGCAAAGTAAATTTTAGGAGAGATAAAAAGTAAATGTTTAAATGGACCCTGAAATTTTCAGAAGCCCATTAATTGTGACTGTCCATCCCTAATTAAATGTGCGTACTTTTAAAACATATAGGATGTTCTTTTATAGACGATGTTCTTTTATTCATACAGTGATGTTCTTCCGGGTGTACCATGCGCATGGTACACCCGGGTGTACGAAACTCTAATTTCTTTATACCCTCACTATTTTAACTTTATTCATTATACTTCCTAAATTACCCTTGAATTTTGCACATGCCCTATACTTTTTTCACTTTCTCTCTCTAACTTTTGTCAATAATTGTACTTTTCACTTTAATTAATGTACTTCATCAATCTTTTCCTTCTATTTCTTAAATACCGTGAAAAAATACAAACAAGAACTATATTATGGGATGGATGGAGGGAGTAATATTTCTCACCCTAATAAATTACGGTCTTTGTACTCTCATTTAATATAGTGGATTTATTTTTCAAGTGCTCATCGGGTGTTATTTTCTTAATAGTTCTTTCTTGCCGTTTATACTTTGTCAATTTCTCGATTAATTACGTTTCCGCTAGCGCTCTTACCCTAACAGATTTAGCCTACCATCAAGCAGAATTTAAAGCATCTGATTTATCATAATTAGCTTTCTAAAAATAGGGGTATAACAGACAAATCCCTTCAACAGAGATGAATTAACAGAGAGTCTACCAAAGACTTGGGTTTCTTGACTTTCGACAGAAATCATCATTCCTTCGTGACCAATGTTCAGTATGCCTAACCCAGAAGGATTAAAGTGGGGATCACATAAACAATCAAGTGCTTTTTGGAATTTAGTTAGTTGGATGAAATTTAGATGGAATGAAATGTTTTTGGGTGTTTTTTCTTGAATAGGAGTCCTTGTTGAGTTAAGGTTTCTTAGAGAATTGCAGGGATTCAGAAAGAAATATTTTGGTGATGTTTCTTGTAGTGAACTGAAATGAATTGAATGTGAGAATTACGCGGGATATGTGTTTACATTCGGATTGTCTAAATTGAGCATATCAAAATTAAAATTGGGGTTTGTGATTTTCCAATTTTGTTTATTTCTTATGCGCTTTAGAGGTGTTAATCGCGTTGTTTGGGTTGGAATTGAGGGCGGTTAGTGGTCAATTCAGGTGGTCAACGCTTTTAATTTCGATTTGATTAGGTTAAATTTGGATCATTGCAGGTATGGTATAAATGCTTTAAATTCCACCAACCCTTGCACTAAGTTTTCACTACTAGAAAACAGGAAAATTCCGACGGACACAAAATTCCGTCAAAAAAAGCGAAATTTCCAACGGATTTATATTCCGTCGGATTTAACAAATCCGTCGAAAATCCGTCGGAAAATTCCAACAGAATTTAACTCCGTCAGAATATATGTGCTTTCCGTCAGAATTTACAATTTGCGACGGAAATATTGTCCGTCAGAATTTAATTTAAAAAAAAATATTTTAAAACCCTAAGATCTGGGTTCCTCTCTTTCCCTCTCTCCGCCTCTTCCCTTCTTTTTTTCTCCCCTGTTTCCCCTTTATCTTTCTCTGTCCTCTTTCCCCTCTCTTTCTCTGTCCTCTTCTCTTTCCCTCACCGCCTCTTCCCTTCTCTTTCGCTCTCCTTTTTCCCCTTTCTCTTTCCCTCACAGCCTCTTCTATTTCCCCTCTTTCCTCTCAACAGCATCAACAACCTTAACCGCAACAACCAGCCACGCCACGCATCGCGTCGCCTCTGTCCACCAGCCACGCGTCGCGTCACCTGATCTGTCCACCAGCCACGCGTCACCTTTAACACTCAGCCGCCACTCAACAACAACTTCAACAACCAGCCGCCGCGTCAAGCATCGTCGTCCACCGTCAAGCACCGTAGAAGCCCGAAAATATAGATTAAATATTGGAGAGTTTGTAGATCTAGGTTTATTTTTCACAAAATTTATGATTATAATTATTTTTTTGATGAAATTGTAATGTAAGTTTATAAATTATTTTTTTGATGAAATTGTAATGTAAGTTTGTAGATCAGGTTTTTGGATTTTTGGACTATGTAATGTATAAATTGTTTTTTTCGATTTTTTGGTTTTTGTTTCGATTTGGTTTTTACGATTTGGGTGTTCTGGATTTTTTTCGTTTTTTTCGATTTGGTTTGTTGTGGTGGTGGTGGGAAGGGGTTGGTAGATCTGGGTTGTGGGGGTGGCAAGGTGGCGAGGTGAATCTGGGCTAGGTGGCTGATTTGGGTTAGTTTTGGTTAGGGTTCGGTGGTGGGGGTGGTGGGTGGGGCTTTTTTTTTATTAACTTTTCCGACAGAAGTTTCTGTCGAAAGGAAGTAGATTCCAACGGAAAATTCCGTCGGAAGAGGTATATTCCGACGGAATTCCGTCGGAAAATTGCGACGAACTCTCGATTAAAGTCAAAACCAGCGCCGACAGAAATAAATCCGTCGAAAACTAGCCTTCCGACGGAAATTCCATCGGAAAAGGTCGAATTTCCTACAAAGGGTTTTGCAACAGACTGATTCCGACGGAATTCCGTCGGAAGACCATTTTCCGACGGAATTTCCGATGATTTCGACGGATTTTTTCCGTCAGAATCAAGTTGTTTTCTTGTAGTGTTTGGGACTATTCAAGTCGGGTCAGTATTCAGGTCTCCCGAAAAAAGTTCAGGTCGGCGGCTGCGGGTCACTTTTGCTACCTCTTAATTGAAGCGAGTGATGGTATCCCTGTTGAAGTTTAATTAGAGATGTAAACTTTCTTCAACAAGATTTGGCAGATATATTGGTGTCCCAACATCATCTTATGACCTTTTCAACCCTGAATGACTATTCATAGACCTTCTTTTCACCCAAGGGTCACCATGCAAAATTTTCGGCTATTTTTTTCTAAGACCCCATAATGCCTGAAAATCGTGATTTGTAACCCTGTAGGGGGCACCATGTAAAATTTCAGATATTTCTTTCCATGTCCCCGGAACCCTTAAAAATCTTGAATTGTCGTTGAATTCGGCTTCCAAAAAGCCATTCCGAGCTTTGTCTCGTTTTCGCTCCAAATTTCTCCCATATGCTATTGCTGACCCCATTACCTGATAAGCTCACTTTCCGCCTCTAAAATTTTGTTGAGTTCCTTTTATACAGTATTTCCGAAGTACGAACACACTAGTCATTCTTGCTCTCTCATAATCGTTTTATGGCGTTTCAGCATCTAAAATTTTGTTGATCGAGTTCCCTTTATACAGTATTTGCAAAGTGCGAACACACTAGTCATTCTTGTTCTCTCATAATCATTTTATGGCGTTTTAAACCCCGACTATTTATTCAAGGATCTTGGTTTGACCCAAGGAGAACCATCTTGTTATTTGTTGCATTGAATTGGATATTGAACTAATATGTCTTAAAGCATCTCTAATAGTTGTAGGTAGGAACTTGTTGCAATTTTCAAATTCGCTTGACCATTGGAGTAAAAGCTAAATGAGAAAGTGGTGCTCATCTAACATAGGAAGCTAAGCTAGTACCTGATCCATTGGGGTACAAACTAACTTACTAGCTTAGCTAGAAAGTGAATAATTGGCTTGAAGTCTTACATGGCATGGCAATTAGCGTGCTATATAGGATTTGGCTTCAAAACTAGATTAAGTATATAGATAATAGTTAGTCATTATTAAAAATATTTAATTGGATGAAAAAAGATTTTATTTTTTTTAATTATTAAAATAATTGTGACGTCTAAAATATTAGATTGAAAGAATAAGCTGATAATATATCATCTACTTCGTATGTAATATCCAAAATTGATTAGATAAAAAAAAATTAAATTAAATTTACAACTTATAAAAAAATAAGGACATCTCGTTCATACATTTGTTTTTAAAAAAAATTCGTGGTGAATGTTGTGAAATCTCAATGGTACACGGTGAAAAAATCATTTTTGCAACCATATTTGAGATATATTTTGAAGGATATAGTTTAGGGGTAGGATATAATTCATATGTTGTATATCAAAGTGGATATTATAGGAGAGTGTTAGTAGGATATAATTCATATGTTGTATATCAAAGTGTATATCAAAGTGTAAAGGAGAGTGTTAGTAGGATTTGCTATTCTTTTGTCTAGGGTTGTTGAAACAGATACAGCCTAAGAAACACAGGCAAAATTCGATGTAAGCTGAATTTAATGAATTAGATATCAAAGACCTCTTTCCAAATGGTGTTAGCTATGCACAAACCTTCAACAACAAAGATCTGAATGGAACATATTATTCCCAATTGTACATTAATTAGACTACAAAACAACAAAGCAAAACTTTTACAACATTTACAAGTCAACTAACACCATTTCCATAGCTTTTAGTTTCATCCGCAACCTTTTCCCATACCCTAGCCATCTTTAATGCAAACCCAGCCTACAAAAGCAATATATTTCACCGGCATTAAACATACAATGTCGATCGTATTATGCAACAAAGTAATTACGTAGGACAAGAGGAACTTCATCACATCACAAAACAATTGCTTAAAACATTACTTAAACCACTACATCAAATCCTATAAGATGAGAAAGGGTTTCTCCAATCCACCTTAAGGCAGGACTATAAACATCAAGATGCAAATCCCAAAAGCATAAACTAACTAGCAACGATTAAGTTATTAAAAGGACTGTATACAACATAACAGTTCACTAAAGGGACTAGAGAATGTACCTGATTTACAACAAAGCCCTTCAACATGCTCAAAACGTCTGCATGCCTTTCCTTATCTAGTCTAGCAAGCTCACTCCTGTTATTTTCCTGCATGATTATAATAAATCAATACAATTAGTATCAAATATTAGAGAAAGTTACAATTCCTCGGCAAATGAGCATGTGGATTTTACCACATAGGACGATCAGTAGAGGCAGTGTTAAGAAGGATAGTAGAAAGCTACAGCAATGTAAGAAGCAATGTAAGTAAAGAAAAAGCTCATCAAGGTCATCAGTAGTGGAAGGCTACAAGAAGTATCACAGATTATAATGTAAGCAAAGAAAATACCTGCTCTAGATGTTTGAATCTAGCTAAATACAGTTCCTTGATGAACTACGTAACTAAAAGTCAGTTGTGATGACATACAGAAATGCAATGTGGATTGCACCCAAAAAAAAAACTGAAATGCAATGTGGTGAACAAGAGTATTTACGTCCGTATGATGAAATAATGAATTATACTCGTAGTAATACTAGTAAATAGCAGATGCGGTATGGTTTGTAAAAATCGTAACATATTCCTTTTTTTTCTTAATACTGTAAATGAAATCATAACATGACATCATAGCTATAAATAAGTGCAGCACTACTGCACTAGCATTATAATGGATATATATCTATAAGAACACTGATGAATTACCGCGTGTAAATAGTTAATACTTACTATAATTACAGAATTCCATTCCAGTAATTTCAATGAAACATCAATTTAAAACTAATGACTTCCAATTTAAAGTTCCAAGTCAAAAAGTCAGTCATTTTTCCAGAAAAATAAGTGCACATTTTCCACTTTAACTTATAATGGCCGACCTCATGAAATTCTTCAATTTGACAATTTCTTACCGATTTTGTCACTATCAATTCAAATAATCTAACTGGGGTCTTAGCTTATGAATGGAAGAAATACTAGTTGTCTCAATGTGCAGTCAATACTAGTTAGCAGAAATTAGCATGTGCATAACTCCATGCAACCAAATTCAATCGCCTTGGTTACGTTGCATTATTTATTGAAAGGTACTACCTTAGCCACTATACTTGATGATTGAGAAAACCTTGAGTTGTATAAATAGTTGAATATCAACAACGGTTACATTCATTCACAAACATTACTCCTAGTACCTCACGTACTGCTTAACTCACTCTATCTTATCTCCAAAATGAAAACAATCCCACTCATTTCTTCTTCTTGGTCTTTTCTCTTGATCTTGATTGTATGGCTCCGCACTTGCAGTTGTATACCTTTTGTCTCTAGCCAATGTCTCCACGATCAAAAGTCTTTATTGCTCGAGTTAAAGAATAATCTTGCATTTGCTCCCAATGCTTATGACAAGCTTGAGGGGTGGAATCAAAGCACCGATTGCTGCCACTGGAGCGGTGTCACATGCAACAACTCCAGTGGTCGAGTTATTGGGCTTGATTTGAGTAGCAAAGATATCATTGGCGGCATTGACGATTCAAGTAGTTTGTTTCATCTTCAGTTCCTCCAAAGCTTGAATTTAGCGAGCAACAATTATTTGCAAGGTGAAATTCCATCAAGAATTGGCACTACACTGTCTAGCCTCACTTACCTTAACTTGTCATGGGTAGGCTTCAGCGGACAGGTACCTATTGTAATATCAAACCTTGTTAAATTAGTTGTCCTTGATATTTCAAATTCAAGGGTAGAAAATGCACCTTTATACATGCAGAAGCCAAATTTGGCAACAATCATTCGAAACCTGACTAATATTAAGGAACTCTATCTTGATTATGTCATTAATTCAGCCATAGGGGATAAATGGTGCAAGGCATTATCGTCATCGCTCCCTCGCCTTCAAATCTTGAGCATGTCCGGATGTGAGTTGAGCGGTGAAATCCATAAGTCCCTTTCAAATCCCCACCATCTATCCGTAATCATGCTCGAAACCGATTTTCCGGAATTGTACCAAGCTCCTTGAACAACCTCAAGAGGCTCCTTAGAATTGATCTCTCCTATAACCAATTTTCTGGTCCCATTCCATCATTTTCATCCATCAAGTATCTAAGATCCATAAATCTTAGGTTCAACAATTTGAATGGTTCAATCAATGCCACAGATTGGGATAAGTTACTAAGTTTAGAAGAGAGCTTAACTTGTCATATAATTCACTTGATGGAAGTATTTCTACCTCATTATTCAGTTTGCCATCACTTCAGTTGATCGATTTGTATAAAAACAAATTCAGTGGGCAACTGAATGAATTTGCAAGCATATCCTCTTCCCAGATTAGTTATATTGACTTGAGGTACAATAGCTTGGAAGGGCCAATCCCAAAGTCATTTTTCCAATTAAGAGAGCTCCAATTTTTGTATATGTCTTTAAACAGGCTCAATGGCACGCTAGACCTATCTGATTTTCTACAAAGATTTAAGAGCCTCACAGAACTTGATCTCTCATTCAATCGCTTGTCCATTGGTACAAACGATTCCGGGGAAAACTCCACTTTTCCCCAGCTACAAATCCTATTTTTGGCTTCTTGCAACTTGCGTACCATCCCTAAATTTTTAAATAACCAAACATCTTTACAAAATCTTGACCTTTCAATGAATCAAATCACAGGCACAATACCCGAGTGGATGTGGAAAATTACTAGGTTCAACCTTTCTTTCAATCACTTAGTGGAACTAGAACCACCTTTGACATTCTCAAATAATTTAGGGTTTATAGACCTCTCTTCCAATAATCTTCAGGGCAAATTCCCATTTGTCAAATCCAATTATTACTATTTGGATTGTTCCAACAATAATTTCACTTCCTTCAATCCAGACATAGGAAACTATCTATCATATGCTAGCTACATGTCATTTTCGAGAAATAACTTACATGGGATCATCCCTGCGTCACTATGCAGTGCCAAAAATCTGGAGCTTCTTAATCTAGAACATAATCATTTGGGTGGCACAATTCCCGAATGTTTTACTACCATGACCCAACTCATCGTGTTGAATTTGAGAGGAAACCAATTAGACGGTGAAATCCCAGATAGATTCATAAAAGGTTGCAGTTTACAAACTCTTGACTTGAATGACAATTTTATGCAAGGAAGGATACCTCGATCACTTGCCTACTGCAAAGATTTGAAGGTATTAGATTTTGGAAATAATCAATTGGATGACACTTTTCCTTGTCATTTGAACAGCTTGTTTAACTTGCAAGTTCTAGTCCTTCATTCCAACAAGCTCCATGGAACTATTGTTTGCCCACAGAGTCACTCAATATGGCCATTGCTTCAAATAATGGACGTAGCTTCCAATCACTTTGTTGGTGAGCTAAAATCCCAAATTCTTTTCAAGTGGAGGTTAATGGTTGCTGGAACAACTAAAGAGAAATCAAAATTTAGGTTTTTGCAAAGCTCTAGTTCAACTGGTGATGACTACCAAAATTCAGTGTCAGTCAACTTTGAGTTGCAATACATCCTAACAATCTTCACTAGCATTGATTTCTCCAACAATGCTTTTCATAGTGAGCTACCGGAAGAATTGTGAAATTTGAATGCTCTTGTAGTTCTCAACCTCTCTTACAACTCCTTCTCCGGCCATATTCCATCATCATTTGGGAATTTGAGCCAGATTGAGTCATTGGATCTCTCTTGTAATAACTTGAGTGGGAAGATACCTGCACAACTTGCAAACTTGAATTTCCTCGGCTACTTGAACCTTTCCTTCAACAAGTTGTTAGGAAAGATCCCAACAGGCACTCAACTTCAATCATTCAACGCATCTTCATATGAAGGCAACCAAGGACTCTACGGTCCACCATTGACAACAGAGATCCAACAATGACTCCACCTACTACTTTAGAGGGATCAAATTGGAGTTCAAAGAGCGAACAAGAGTGGATGTTAATGGGTGTTGAAGTTGGATTTTCGGTTGGGATCATTGTCTTTGTAGGGCCTATCTTTTACATCAAAAGGTATAGGGAATGGTACTGCAAGCATCTTCATAGATTGGTCATGAAAATCCTACGAAGGGAAGATAATAGTACAAGGTCAAGGAGAAGGAGAAGGAGAAGGAGGAACCATCAAAGGCACATGCACTAGACCCATAGAAAGGGATGAAACAGAAGAATTGAATGGCTAGTAAGTATGAATTAAATTTGATCATAGCAATTTATTTCACTTAGCTTGCTCATCAAGATGTTTGAACCTAGCTAGCTAAATGCAATTCCTTGAACCAAACCACTATATATATATATATATATATATATATATATATATATATATATATATATATATATATATATATATATATATATATAAATATATATATTTCTCTCTCTCTCTCTCTCTCTCTCTCTCTCTCTCTCTCTCTCTCTCTCTCTCTCTCTCTCTCTATATATATATATATATATATATATATATATATATATATATATATATATATATATATATATATATATATATATATATATATATAGGATTAGGATCATGTAAAAACAAGTCTTAGGGTAAAAACTAAAAACAATTAATCCTAGCCGTAGATTATAATCTAGCGGATGACATCTAATGTATATAATCTAATTTTCTCTCTCCTCCCGCGAAAACACCTTCTCTCTCCTCTGTTATTTTCTTCCTCCTCTTCCTTCTCTCTTCACTTTCTCTCTCCTAATTTCTCGACATTTTTTCCCCAATTTTCACGCTACTTTTTCAAACACCGCTTCAATTATTTTGATTTTTAGCAATTTCTCAGCTCTACGATCTATTATCAGGTGAGTTCTTTGTGGTAATTTCGCTATTTTTGCACGATTTGAGGTTATTAGGTTTCTGAAATTTTGTTTGCTGGAATTTCATGAGTATTTTTTTGTAGATTCAACCGGAAATTTAATGTCTATTGTGTTTTTCGTGTATGCTTTTTGTTTAATTTTGTAATTTTGCAAGTTTATTTATTTTTTCGATTTGATTTGATTTTTTGATTTTCAACTTAAGTTCGTTTTAGTAGGAGTATTTTTGCTCGAATTTCTACTTTTGTTGTTGTTCTTCACCTTCTTAGTAACACGATTTTTGTGTTTCTGATTTTAGTAAATTAAGTTTGGGTAATTTTAGTAACATGCATGTTTGATTATGACGAGATTTTGCGTGTTTCGTTCATCAATTTTGTTCGATTTCCAGTGCGATTTTGCGACTTTTGCTCATCAATTTTTTCGACTTTTTTTCATCAATTTTGTTCGATATTGTTTGATTTTGCGATTTCCTGTTCGACTTTGTTTAATTTTGTTCGATTTCTTGGTTGATTTTGTTCAATTTTGTTCAATTTTATTCACTCATTTTTTGCTTTCAATTTTTTTGATTTGTGGGTTTTTGCAGGTGAAATGTGGGAATTGTGGAGAGGTGACAGAGAAGGAGAGTTATGTGATGTTGGGAGAAGTTGTTCCTATCCCTAAGAGTCGTGGCCAGGCTAATCTTGTTCAGAAGGTTTATCTCTATTACTCTCTGATAATCTGTTGTTCTATTCTGATTTGATTGTGCTCGCTCTATTTGAGATTTAGTTGTTGCATTGATAGTGTAATTTGAATGAGTAATGTTACAATTATATTTTAATGGATGTAGTATTTTGGCACTATTGATTGGTTTTGTCAGTGTTAATTTCTTTTTCTGGACTAATTTCTTGCCATTTAGTTTCATGAGGGTTTTAGCATTATATTGACTATTTCTTGGTTATTGTAGTGATTGTAGTTATGTGTTGATCAATGAATCATATGCTGCATTTATCTTACTGTAAATGTTACATGGTTATTGTAGTGATTGTAGTTATGTGTTGATCAATGAATCATATGCTGTATTTATCTTACTGAATGTTACAAAAATGTGTGTTATCTGTAAGATGATCAGTGTTTATGAAGTCTATTTCTAGCGTATCTTATAGTGAAGGAAAGTGTTTTAAAGTTTTTGAGAACTTGTGGGTTCTAGGAGCTTTGAACTTTCATCTTTTATGTTTAGTGATGATCTTTCGTCAATTTGCTAGAAGCGAGTTGAATACCCCTTAAGCTTCTTCATCCATTACAGGAGTATTGAACATGTATTAAGGATTATGAACACCAGGGTTGCAAACTGGAAATTTCTCCTCGTTGTTTTGATACCTGTCTGATTTATTGAACTGTTCAACATGATATAGCGTTTAAGTTTGGTATGAAATTTCTGCAATTCTGTTATCTTAGGATTATTTGCTTAGAATTAGGACTTGTTTAATATGTTTCTTCCGGATGTCAATTGATGGCCTTGTATTGGCACTTGGGGAATGGTTTATGATAGTGTATTGATGTTGTACTAGTACTTCTGCTCTGGCTCTTAGAATTCTTTTTTTTATCTATTGTTCAGTCATTTACTGTACTGATTCCATCTTTTTCAATAATAGTGTGCCCGTTCAAGTGATATATGGCTTACGTTGTTGCTATATCTATATTGACTAAGCCTTGAATAATGTCCTGCAGCTTATAGAATGTGTTTGATGCTTTGATATGTATGAATCACGTGTTGCATTTCTGCATTTTTCTGGTTTACACTTAATTGACATTTGATGCCTGAATTATATTACAATGTATAAATTTTCTGTGAGCTGTTAACTTTGTTCCATTCCAGCTATTAAAATTCTGTTGCTTTTTGTGTGTTATTGCCTTCTAAATTTTGGATTTTCTTACATTGGTAATGGTGATAGTTACATTGTGTTTTTGGCTTGTTGCTAATCAATCACCCTTTCATTATTTCAGTGCAAGTTCTGTGGCAGGGAGGGTACTATTACAATGTTACCAAAATCTGGCTGCTATCTAACAGGTGATGACTGACTGTGAAGCAGGAAAGTTTGTCCGTTTGATGAGCTTTGACTGCCGGGTTTGGAGCCAGTGGACTACTCCTTTGGTGGTGACAAGGAGGAGCAACAGAAATCATCTTATGATAAGAAGCAGCAGGAGAAGTTATCTGATGACAAGGAGGCCGGAGAAGGAGAAGTTATCTGATGATAGTTACCTTACTTTTGTAAATAGTGACATCTATATAAATGTGGTCAATGTTGTCAAAATTTATATAATTACCTTATTTTTATATATAGTGACCTTCGTTATTTTTATATATAGTGGTCTCTGTATAAATGTGGTCAAAATTGATATAGTTACCTTATTTTTGTATATAGTGACCTTTATGTAAATATGCTCAAAATTGATATAGTTACCCTATTTTTGTATATAGTGACCTCTAAGTAAATATTCTAAAAATTGATATAATTACCTTATTTTTGTATATAGTGACCTTTATGTAAATATGATCAAAATTTATATAGCTATCCTATTTTTGTATATAGTTACGTTATTTTTATATATAGTGACTTTATGTAAATATCGTCAATTTAGATAAAGTTACCTTATTTTAGCATGTAGTGACCTTTAAAACGTTGCGTTTGTCAAAAAAAAAAAAAAAAAAAAAAAAAAAAAAAAAAAAAAAAAACCTTTAAAACAGTTGAATTGATTATATGTAAGGTTGGAATGATCTTAGGGCTTTAGAACCGTCTGATCTTTTGTGCTAGTAATGAATGGCTAAGATTGCTTGTTTTTAGTTTTCACCATAAGCTCTGTTTTTAGCGGAACCTCCCCGTATATATATATATATATATATATATATATATATATATATAATGTTCACCATTTTTTATTCCAACTAGATTGAATCGTTCTATAAGCTTATGTAAAAATAAAAAATAAAAAAAATAAAAAAAAATCATTGCCTTTGTCTATGACCATTTTTGTAAAAAAAATCAACAATTTAGTCTTATTCCTATTTTTTAAATGTAACTATGTGTAAGGCTTTGTCTCAAAAAGTTAACATAGGCTTATAATAATTATTTCATTACATTTTAAATTTGTATTTCTCTATGTTCGGATAATTAGTTGTTGAATCTTTCATTCATGGTTTCATCTAGGTATTGCTGACATGCTGTGGATGACGGAAATGCAATGTACCAAACAAGAGTTTTAACAGACGTATAGAGAAATAATGATTGTAGTATTTAATATAGTTTGTAAAACTGTAAAAGTTGAATAAGTATTAAGGCATGATACTATTTCTAGTTATTATTGCCGCTTTTCTGTTGTATTCCCACTACTAATTACTTCTTCCGTTTCGTAATTATCGCAACACTTTGACTTTTGTACTATTTATATGCTTACTTTGACTATGGTTTTTACTAATATATAAAAAAACATATGTTGTCATGTAAAATGTTTTTAGCAGCCACGTAATATCCAAAATTCTGAGTGCTACTGTAAATTAGTACTATTGAATTTGAGCTAGCTTGAATCACTGAATCTCTCTTGCAACACCTTCAATGGAATTATACCTCAACAGCTTGTAAACTCAAATCCCCTCGACTACACTTAAACTTATCCTTCCAAAAGCTTCAGGTTAGCTCCCATCAGGCACCCAGCTTCAGTAATTCACATCGGACCCTATTCTGTGATACACCCAAATGTAAAATGGAGGAAATATTTTCTAAAATCTGAC